TACTGGGTCTCAAGGTGAGCAAAACTGAATGTGAGCCATCCAAGAGGGAGAATTCAGTTTCTTAAAGCACTTTGGGATTTCAGATATCTGTCCTGTTGAATTTATAATCCAGATATTCTGGGGGCTCTCTGGTGCAGATCCCAGGAGTAGGGGTCCCTAATATGGGGCACTAACCCCTTGCTTCTCTGAGAGAAGTGCCTTTGGTGAGATCTCTTATTATTGTGTATCCCTGCCCTGGTGTAGGGTTTTTTTTTTGTGTGTGTGTATGACACCGTGTGTGTTTGCTTCTCCTACCTCTCTTAATGTGATCCTCTTGTTATTTTTTGTACAGAGTAGTTCATTTAGTTTTCTGATCTTTTTCTGAGAGAATTGATCCATTTACAGCTGTAGATTTGTCTGTGGGAGGAGGTGAGTTCAGGATCTTTCTATGCTGCCATCTTGGACCCTTCTAAATACTTTTAAAAAACATAATAAGCAGTATTTTTGGAAACATTTTCAAAGTTATTTGTTGTTTTTAGATTCTCTGGTCAGGAGAGAGGAAGTTGTTAAATTATATCCAAAATCATTCTTGAGAAGAATCTGACATTGTTTTGCTATTTGAAAGGGGAAAAATGGTGCTTATTTCTGTTTCAAATTATGCTCTACCTTGTAAAATAAGAATAGAATTAGTTAGAATTAGGGTAGACATACATAGTACTAGTCATTCTTCTTCTTTACCTAGGAAGAAATGGGGCTCACTGTATAACCTTATATGTTATCAGCACCAATCTGTGTTACAACGAAGCCTCTTTTCAGGCATGCTCAAGTCATCAGACTTCTCTGTCTTCCAGATGTAGGAATACATTTCAGAGCTTCTACTGGGTCCCTGGAAGCCCCACTAGGCTAGTAGTTAGAAGGAATATCTTTCACCCTATCCCTGTAGAGAGGTGAAATAGAGACTCACAGCAGGGATTTTTCCAAAAATTTTTAAAACAATCTTTTTTTCTCTACCACTTGTATCCTCTCTTTGTTTCCTCCATGGCCCAAGGGATCCTGACTCCCAGAACCAGTTCTCAGTACCATTTTTTATTCTTTGAGTCTGTCTGTTACATATACATATTTATATATTTCTTTCCCTTTTGCTATTCCTTGGCAATATAAGTGTTATTTTACTTTTTCCAAGCTCACACAAAAGCAGAAATAATACCAAAATAAGTGCAAAATTTAGTGGATTAGAGACGAATGTGGGTACATATCTGTTTATAGATCTACTTTTTTTTTTCCAAGATGAGATAAAATTGGATCTGGGGCAAGGGAGAAAGAGATGAATTAGACCTGAGGGAAGAAGAATAAACAAAAGTGATCCTCAAAGTAAGAGGGACCATAAGGATTTTCTACCGGAGTGCCCAGGGAGTGGAATGGAAAGGCTGCTGTGCCCAGGCATCTTTGATGTGGCTATCCACTTTGTATGCCCTAAAGAAAACAAATAGACCTGGACACTCATGTTACTAAACAGAGAGGAAGGAGAGAAGTTGTATACTTTGGTGAGGATGGGAGTATGAAGAGAAGATTTAGTCCTCTGACCAAGATGGAATTCCATAGGCCATGTTAGGAATTTCCCTGTTAATTAAGGTAGTGGTTGAGATCCTCCACTGTTTCATGCATGCACACAAATGTAAATGCATTTAGCTTTTGGGAAGAACAGAGGGGATTTCAGTGATAGAAAAATGGGAACTGGCTATAGATAATAAAAATATTTAATGTAGGCCTCTATGTACAGTGGAGATGTTAGGCTTGCTATAAAAAGTAATTGAAGTCACCTTATTTATTAAAATAACAGGTCAGACAATCATATTATTACTTTGATTTTAACTATAAAAAATGACAAACAAATTTCGTGCATAGTCTTTTTTTCAGGACATATCTCAGGGGCTTAGAGAAAACTGAACATTATCAGCTCACCTGTAGTGAGTATTGAGTATCAAGTATACCATAACCATATTGAGTATCAGCTCACCTGTAGTGAGTATTGAGTATCAGGTATACCAGTAACCATAAGCTATGGGTTATGATTCTAGTTGATTCTAGTTTTCACTGTTTATGGAAATGGTTCTCAAACTTCGGCATGCAACGGAACTACTTAAGAGAGTATGTTAAAACACAGATCATTGGGCCCCATTTACAGAGTTTCTGATTCAGATTTGGGTTAGAAACCAAAAATCTGCATTTCTAGTTAAGTTTTCTTGTGACATTAATGCTGCGGGTCTGGGGACTACCCTTTGAAAACTATGGATTTATAGATTATAATCTATATCTTGCTCAGTCTTTACTCAGTGAATATAAGAGATAGTAGCACATTCATGGATGGGATAATATACACCTATTAAAGGTAGTTTAAGTCTTGACAGAAAAATTTTGAAATGTTCTTGAATAAAAAATACTTTATAATAGACTATTCATAGCATATTTCTATCTTAGATACAAACAGATATAAATCTCTAGAAAATGTGTGTCATTGGTCAATACTGGGTGGTCAGATTGGAGTAGTATTTACTTGCATTGTAGTGCCTAGGTATTTTTGAAGGTTTACATTATTTGTATAATAAAAGTGGTAGAGTACATAGAAAAATGACAGTATGCTTAGATATGAAAGTGATTGATATTAGAAAGTTGCATTTTGAATTTTTTCTGCTTTTGTATACTTCCATTTTTTACATTAATAATAAGTAGTATTAAAATTTGGTATAAAAACTATTTAATAGTATTAAATATTTAATAATATTTTAAAAAGAAAATTTTAATTGAGTATAGTTGACATGTTACATTAGTTTCAGGTGTACAACACAGTGATTCAACCTTAGTAGAATTTAAAAGTATTGATATTGGGGCATCTGGGTGGCTCAGTGGTTGAATGTCTGCCTTTGGCTTAGGTCATAATCCTGGGGTCCTGGGATCAAATCCCACAACAGACTCACTGCAGGGAGCCTGCTTTTCCCTCTGCCTATGTCTTTGCCTCTCTCTGTGTGTCTCCCATGAATAAATAAAATCTTAAATAAAAAAAATTGACATTTAGTATTAGAGGGTGTGAAATTAATGTTTAATGTAAAATTTTTATTTATATTTTGTGAGCATATGCCAAATTATATAATTCCAATAATACCACTCTTCTATGTAAAAACTTCAGGACTTACTATTTTCCTAGTAGCCAAAAATAAAACTTCTAACCCTGGGAATCAAATTCTCTATAACTTTGGACCTGTAGGTTATTGCCTTTCATTATCCAATAATGTATCTCAACAAGATTTCACTGTTCTTGCATAGAATTCCCACTTTTGTCTGCTTTACCATTCCCTTAATTCTCCCTGACATCACCTTTCTACATGTTTACACTCACCTTTCCTTCAAATGCCAGGCCAAATGCTCTCTGTGGACCTGCTGTGGTAAACTCCAACACGTGAGTGCATTAGCAATTGTTTTTCATTTTTTAGGTTTATTCACTCCTTCCTGTGTAGTAATTTTACACATACATTAACTCCTGAACTTAATTTATGACACATTTGGGGGGAGGGCATGGGGACATAGTTTGAGTAGCAAAACTAGTTAAACTAGTAAAAATCTAACCTCACAAAACATATGATCAGTCATTTATGGAGAGAAAAACAAATCTGGGTATGAATTCTGCCTTGGCAACTTGCTGGCTGTGTGTATTTATATGAGGCCCTTTAACACTTACCTGCCTTGTTTTTCTTATTTGAAAAATCAAGGTAAATGATAATTAGCATTGCTGAAGATTCAGTGAGACAATTATATAAAGAATACATTGTTAGTTATAGTTTATCTGCTATAACATCAAATGCAGTGGTTTAGCTAAAAGGATTGTTTCTCTACCAGGTATCAGTCTTGAGCTAAGCAGCTGAAGGGGAGGCTTCAGCTCCCTGAAGGGGAGGCTCTGACAATTTCAGCACAGGGCTTCCTTGGCTAGGACAGCTGCTCCAGTTGTTCCAGTCAATAGAAAGAAAGAGGAAGTGAGATCCATAGTCCCTCTTCTCTCATTTCACTGGCAACACTTAGTCCTCTAATCACATTTCCTGCAAAGGAGTTTGGGTAGTTAAGTCTTAGCTATGTGCTCTACTGACACTCAGGTCCTATTACTGAAGGTGAAGGGAAAAATGGAGCCAAACAGCGCTCATAACAAAATCATGATTCTGAGCTTAAAAGAACATAGTCCAAACCCAACTGGGATGAATTCTCTAAAATAAGGTCTTTGTGAGACCTCCTTATAGGTTCCATCTGATCTTTCCACTGCAACTGTTTTACTTATAGATGTTCTCCGCATACGTTTTCTTTCAAACTATTAAAATTCCTTTATGACAGGCAATGTGTCCACATGTCTTATTTAACTTTTAACTTGTCCCCTCATCTGCTTTACTCTTGCTCCAGTTAAACAGGAAAATCACAACACAAGAGTATTCCATAAATTTCAGTTGTTTAAATATGGCTCTCAAGAATGGGCAATTGAAGTTTATGAACATGTTAACATTTGTATCAAGGTGATGGTAGAAATCTCTGTCTAGTAAAAAATGCCTGATTATCTTTTAACTAATTTTTCAGTTCTCTATAATTTAGATATTCTTTCTGTTTCCACTTTTGGGCAGATATTAAAAGGGAAGAGGGAAATTTGGATGTCCTCATATCTTTATCATTGGCTCTGCAACTTTCTAGGAAAAAGTAGTAGCTTTTTGAAATTATGTAATTAATGTCCTCTACCAATGACAATGTATGGATATTATTACATTTCCTTGTATGAAAATGTGGTATTGTCTGGCAGCTCTGAGGGTCATGTAACACACAATGGTAAACAAAGAAGCATTCTGTGCATTCTTAGATCTTTACGTTTTTATTTTAAAACATAAAATTTCATATTAATTAATACCTACTTTTAAACAGAATGATGCATTAATTAAATGCCTTGTCATAACTGTTATAAGCTCTGTTAGAAAAATAAACATCTCACAACAAACTACAGTGTCAGCTCTTTAATAAATACATAAAACAGAAGTTAGTAGTCAGTCAGAATTACATGAACAGGTTCATAGTATATTTTCTGAAATTACCCCCCAATTTTCTGCGTCACTTAAGGCAGTTTAACTATGTATAGTTCAAAGCCAGAAATGATAAGAAACTTGTTTATTGAGAATTCGTTTCTTTCATAAAAGTTATTTTATATTCAAATATTTTAATTTAAAAATACACTCTATATTAATTTTTTACAAAGGCTCAACTTGTTAAATGAAACAAAGAAGGTTATATTCCTGATAATTTAAAAATATTTCTAAATTATTTTTTCAAATGTTTAATAAAAACCTTTAATGAAGTAGCTGGTAAATGTAAAATAGTTTTAAAGTTATGTTAAATACACACAAAATGAATTTCTATATTATGTGCAAATTTATATTTTCTTATAATTTAGAATTAAAATATTTCATATTCAATATTCTTAATAAAATTTATGTACCATGAATTTTGTCATTGTGGGGAGTTCTTATCAAAATCACATTTATCTGTGGTAAGGTGTAAAGTCAGTAAATGTTCTTTACAAAAATCACACATTTTCCATCCTTGATAACTGCAGTTTTTTTTTTAATATTATTGGATTAAATACTTTTAACTGAAATAGGTCACAGAGGTTGGAAATCTGATTAATAGAGTTAGCTTACAATGATAGATTTTATGCAGGAAAGTATGCCAGGTAGATAAAAAAAAAAGTAGTGTTATTACCCTCAGGTATTTCATTAACAGCTGCCCAGATAGCTGAACAATTGTTTCATATAACTCAAATAAGTTAAATATGCAGTTTTATGACAATCATTACATGGCATTGAAAGTAAATTTATTAAAGCCAAAATAAAAATCAAACAAAAGGGCAGAAATGAGAAAGATGAACAAAAAACAGAGAGGACTTGAAGGGAAAGGTTTTTCCTACAGTACTAATTGGTTGTATTATATTTTTCTTCTGTCATTGACATAAGACATACAAGATGCTACAAAATCTAATTATGATGGTTTCATATATTTTTCCAGTTAATTCTGTTTAAAAGTGAGATGATCATACGAAAGTATGTTTTAGAAAGGAATAAAAAGATTAAAAATTTGTTTGCAAAATTAGGAGAAACCCACTCATTCTTGTCAGTTAAGTTAGGTTTGCTGAAATCATAGCCACTAGCGTAAAGTATACAGAGGAAGATGAAAGAGCTTTTATAACCTAAAGGTCTGTAAGATCTGAGCTCATAATCAGACAGGCTCCTTGATGAGTTGTGTGTAATTCAGTTGTACTGAAAATTGACTTCACACATTATCATAAATAGGTTCTCAAATATTTATAAGAAAAGGAATGTCCCTATTCTCATGAACATTTAAAGATGAATTAGTGTAATATTTATTCAAGTACAACTTCAAACACTGCATCTAAGATGCCAATGATTGCAAGATACACCATAATTTTAGAGATGTGAAATTGAAAAGTAGATGTCTTAGAATCAATGAAATATGAGTATGTATAATCAGTTACCCATAATAAATTTGCCAGAGTACTATAAAAGAAAAAGGAAATTATCTAAAAGAATGCTTGTTCTATTTTTTCTGAAAATATATCTCAGTTTGCATTGCATTAAATGGAATTCTTAAGGTCAATATAAATAAGAATAGTTGTAAATTAAATATTGAATATATAAAACAGATTACAATATGCTTATGATTGAATTCCCAAGTAGCTATATTTCACTCAATACTTTTATTAAAGATACAGATCTTAAATCCTTTAGATCTGAAAGAAGCTCAAATGGTTGTGAAAATTATAAATTCTTAGTTTTTAATGGGTGTGTCTTGGTTCAGTTGCATGATGAATTTTGAAATCATTAAGAGATGTTTGGAAATGAAGAACTTCATTAAACCATTATATTGAGTTATTTTTCACAATTAGCCTTATTGGGCTTAGAGTTGTAGGGCAATCTCTTAGGAAAAGTGAGTATGAAAACTAGGAGTAAGGAAAAGAAGGACAAGTCATTAAGTACAATTTACTATACCATGTATCAGAGGAATATAATTCTATGGAGAAATATTTTCATAGTTCATCATAATCATATTTCAGTGTCTCATGGATGCCTGTTGTCATACATAAGAATATCTTTAATGGGATTAAATATATATTTAAAAAATTTATGTTACCTATTATAAAGTGTTGTACTTGATGCATCCACTAATTATAATTTCGGGTTGAAAAATTTGCCTCCAAAGAAATCTATTCTGTTAACCTTAGATTTTTTTTTGTATCCTTATAAACCAAAGCTATATTGAACATTCAGTACATAATCAGATTTTTAGTAAATTTTTGAGGCTTGCAGAGAATGTCTATGACTTCATACATATTAATGTTTAAAAAAAGATATGAAATGTTTATAAATCCACATATGCTGTGGTGTAAAGATGTCCCCAGAGAAATAAAATGCATACATTTATATTGTAGTGTATATATGGCACATTTCTAAATCATTACATACTTTACGGCACAAAAATGCTATCGTACCAAAAGTGTTGTTCAAGTTCTTTGTTAACTATTTAAAATTTCATTATTTATTTAATATCATGAATCTCAGGAGGCTCCTATGGTCATATTAGTTGAAAATAGGCTCTATTTACATAAATTATTTAATCTAAGAATAAGAATACCCTGTTTTCCCTTACCTGTTAATTCTTACTAGTCAAATATTAATTCTCTTCTTATAAGCCATTTTACAGGAAAATATCCATTATTCAAGTAAAATATAAGCTCTAGACTCTTTAAGAATTAGGTCTTTAAGTAAAGAAAGAAAGCACAAGATATCACAAGCATAACTACAATCATCATCAAGCATTGAACTGCTTATCAGGAAGTTTGTCTTTTCCTATAACAGCCTTGGTCCATTATATTAGTGCAAACTAGTGAAAGTATAAAAATATAAACCCTTGATTTTTAAGGGTTTCATTTTATTATGCTCCTTTGGATAATTCATTCCACATGGAGATTAGTTTACGAATATTATAATGTTCATTTTTTAAATTGTCAGTATTTTAATGAATGGATGATTTCCACTTTTTCCTTTTGGAGAGCTATTAGGTATCCGTAATTTTCTTTTTAAAATGGGTACTGTGTGTGACAGGCAGCCCAAAAAATATGATTTTTACATTATCCCTGGTGTTCAAAGGTATCTTACACAAGTGAGTCACAGTACTGAATTATGTCAATGTCCCCAATCTCATTAGTTCAACTAAGCATCATAATTGCTTGGCTATAGGGGACAGTTATTGGAGCTGCTGTGCTTGTTTGCTCCAGAACAACTTATTATATGCTTTTAAATCCTCTTTGGGGTAAAATATGGGGTGGGGTTAAAATGCAAATATCTGGCATTTCTTCAAGTGCTGGAAGACAGCAAATTTGGGAAGTTAATTATAAAACATTTTAAACAAATTCCTTTGTTTTCATAGGCAAAGCTCTGTACTACACAAAGGACTATTGGACTTCTAGCCAATAAAATCAGACTGAATATGTCTGTAGGGTTATGGTAATTGTGAAGAAGTTTCCATTGTGGAAGATAGACGCTCATGGCCTCTGATTCAAGCTCTCAGGCTGAGCACTGCACAACTCACAGGCTTGTGGTGTGAATAGATTTCCCTGTAGTTAGGCCATGCTGCATTCTCTTAGAAGCTATCAGGTAGGATTGGAAGCCAGTCATGGAATTCAATTTGAGTTACTCTTTTTTGCTTTATTTTGAAATTTTCTCATGCCCATATACTCAAGACTTCAATGAATCACATTTAAAAATACTTCCAATCAAAGATTTTAAAGATTCAAGAGGTAGCATGATATTGTACAATGTTGTACAATGAACACTAGCCTGGCAATAAAAAGAAGTTCTCTTCAAATGCTGCCACTTAATCATTTGGGTGTTTTTAAAGATACCATTTAAATTTTCTGAGCCTTGGTTCCCTGACTAACTAAAAGGCTGAATTAGCTTATTTCTAAGATATTGTCTATCCTCCTCCAATTGTATATGTTTAAAATTCTGGTGAGTATGGTTGAGGTGATTCAGGGAAAGCATTCCTTAGGCTGCACTGAAGAGTGAAAATAGTATCGCTTAATATAGCTTTTAATTTGAAAAATGCTAGTATCTACTTGGAGTATATATCTGAGAGAACTCACTAAAAAATGTGGCACTTTGCTTGAGGCAGAGTTTCGAAACACCTTGTGATCTTCAACCTGATGATTAGACAAGTGAAATGGTGAAGCATCCAGTTTTTCAGGTAAGATCAGTAAGACTCCACATCTGCACACAATGAAGCTGTTCAGGTTTTGATGTTACTTTACAGTGTCCCTTATTAAACATTCAGCTTTTAAAATCAGTATTCTAATAAAGTGACATTGTATTACTAGGGTTTTATGGCAGTAGTAACTTAGCACTTATTTAATCCAGTCATCTGTGACATATATAAACTTATCCTGTAAGAAAGAAAAAAATATAAAGGCAAAGAGAGAATGTTGGAATTAGTATCTGTAAGAAGCAGAAAACATAAACACATGCATAACACTACACAGTTTCAGAAGCAATATCCCTTAAAATTAAGGTTTTATCTACTAACCTCTTGAATAAGTGAAACACTAACCATTTATTCATCTAGATGTTTTTATCTATTCACTGCCAGTTGTTGAAGTGTTTGGCAACAGCAGTATAACTGCTTTTTATTTTTTCATCCACATGTGTGGTGTGGGGATTACTGTACCCTTGTAGTGACACAGCATTGTCTCTGGGAAGCGTAGGAATGGCAGGTACCTGTAAAGTGTAATCAGTGCTCTTCAGATGATCTACATTCTATGCTGATCTAAATAAGTTATATATTACAGTAAAGTGCTACAATGACACTAGTCTCAAACAGTAGTAAGACACATTTTTCTCTGAAAAATTGAGCAGCAAAGTGAGTCACATGATGATAAGGATGCTTGTCAGTCTTCATTCAAGTGGACAACCAGCAACCAGCATGATCTAGAACAGTTTGTCTCCTCCTGTGACTTCTAAAATTAAAATTTTTAGGAGCAATTATTAAAAATCCAGTTTCCCATAAAATACTTTTTATCTTTTTAGAAGTTGCACCTGAAAGTTTCATGAGCATTTAACTTGCTGATATCCATTTTTATTTCTTCAGGTTTCTCACGTCGGTAGGTTACTGCTCTTGTGCAAACGCTTTGCAGAATCAACTTGTCCTTGATGGAGAAAAAATATTATTAATTAACAATCTAAATATTGGAAGTAGACAATGACATACTGATCGTAATTGCTTTTTTAAAATTCACTGACCTTTTTTGAGGCTGACACCCTATAATCCGCCGAGGACTTAATTTTATTACTATTCCATTGTAGTATCACCTGTCTAATGATAAGGACTTTAAGCAACCCAATCAAGAATGTAACTATGAAGATGATGAAAAATATTCTTAAATAGCTTGGACTAGAGAAACATTCTGTAATAAAGCAAATAAATAAATGTATTAAAAACTGGAATGAGTAAATCAAAGGATTCTAACAAGCAAACAATGTTCTCCATCTCAATTAATAGAACAAGAGATATTTGCAAATCTACGTTTTCAAGACAGAAGAATGTTATTACTATTGATTCAAAAAGTAAACTGTCACTTTATTACACATTTATTATTAAAATATTTCCAAAAGAAAACTTTTGGATAATAGCCACAATATTCAAAAATATTGTTTATTTGCAGCTTGATTCTTTAATTTTACTAACTGGAATGTGTCCAAATTCCTTAAACAAATACAATTTTATCTGTGGCAGAGAGGGGCAGTTTTTGTGGTGTGCATTGTTGATCACTAAGTGGAAAACAGGATTCAGAAATTATTTAACAACTCTATATATTAGCACATGTTTCTCTTGTTATGCTTGGTCTTCATTTGTTGCACATCAGTAATGGAAAATAAAGTAAACAACTGCAGAAGCTAAAATCAGTACCACTTTAATAGATGAGTAAATATTTCCTTTGAAACTGTAGTGTAAATTTCCATTATTATTACATGTAGCCTCTTGGGACAATATGCAAATCTCTTTCCTCAATTTTTATTAATTTAGTTTTTATTTGTCTTTTAACCAAATCTGTCATTTTTTGCTTCTAAAAACTTCACTGTGTATTTTTTTTTTCAAGAACAAATAATTACTAGCTGGAAAAGGAAATACTGCATTAAAAGGAGGAGCATACTAGGTTTTCTGTTTTAGCACTAGACCTTTGGCAAACTCTAGTTGGAAACTCTACAGGCTCTATGGATGCCAGAAGTATTACCCTAATCTAAGAGGAACATTGCACAATATGCCAGTATTCCACAGAATTCACCAGCTGCCCCAGATTCACAAAATTGCCTCCTGGCTTAAAGAGGCATGTGCTTTCTGCCCATTCTCCAGACTTTGGGGACTTTACCTAAATGTCTGAAGGTCTCCCTGAGACAGTCTTTTGGGAGGGGACCTGCCAAAGTTTAGAAGATTACATAGGTAATTTGTGTCTGAATTCCCAGGGAGGACCAAGTATGCTTCTGAATAACCCAAAACGCAGAAATGAGGCAAGGGCTCCTCTCCAAGTGGGAAGGAACACTCAGGGCCCAGTTTTCCTTGGTCAGTGATAAGGTTCCTTGAAAGAAAGGCTAAAGGAAGTCCGAAGGACTACTAATTGAAATAGAAACACCAAATGCAAGTGCAAGTCTCCCGTTGTTATTGGTCTCACACACAGAGAGAATCCAAGATGCTCTTTTTAAAGGTGGTGCCCTTAGAGTCTTCCACAGTGACCTTCAGGTGTGTGACAAGCACGCCTTTCATCCTGACAGACTGTCCTTTCTCTTGGCTGACTTAGAACTAGTCAGTCAGCTAAAGCCGATCCTTAAAGGGGACACGTGGTTTGATCCCACTTACTGGCTTCTTGCCTAGGAGGAGCTTAGCCAGAAGACCAGAACTTCACCCTTTAAGTGTGATTGAGTGGATAGATAATAGAGGTGGCTAACAAATGCTCTTTCCTGCTCTTTCTACCATAGTTGTGAAGGGGAGGGGAGCCCCCTAGCTTCCGATAAATTTTACAAATATTTCTAATGGGTTAGGATAGAGAACATTTTCAGGCTCAAATCTCCATGAATTTTAAATGTCATTTTGCATAGCCAAACATTTAGCCTCTGCCATGACTCCCATCTTAGTTTAGGTCAAGCAAGGGCTTTTCCTAAGGAGCTTTAAGGGAATACTTTATGTAACCACACTTAGGTCAGAGTAGGTTTGTTTACTTAACATAATAAATGACATGTTGACAGTAAGGGCTCTATTTATTAGAAAAGGCACTTGGCTTTCTGGAGTGATTGCTGCAGCCCCAGCTGGCAGCACATGGGCTTTTTGCAAAGCCAAGTTCGTTATGGGCTAAGATCAGTGTGTAATGCAATGGAAGAAGGAAACAAAACTGGAGAAAGTTTATTCTTCTGTGCAGTGTGAGAGCTGGAATTATCTTTACAGGTCAGAGGAGAGACTAGAAGTAATAGTAGCAGTAGAAATGTTTTCAAAGAAGACATAATTTCAAGCTTAATTTCCAATTCATATATACTTTACCACCTTAACACCTGAGCAAAGTAGGGTACTGGCTTTTGGCTTCTAATGAATTTTTGTCTTAAAATGGTCTGAACACAGCTTTCACATGTTTTTCTCATTTGCTTTTTCTTTTAATTCACATCTTTCTTTCATGTTCACTGATTCATTTAATCTCCTACAATTCCTTAAGGTTGGTATTATTATCTCCATTACAGATGAGGAAACTGAGACCCTGGGAAATTTTGTAAGAGGTCTGATATTTCTTATCCATTAATGTCAAGGGAAATGGATTAAGCCAACGTCTTCAAATTAAAAGTTTCATGCCCTTACCATTTATGCTGCTTTTATAATCATTCACCCCTAAATTATATTTATATCAGAATGAAAAATACCAAAAAAGAATGGCCCTTTTTAAGTTACACATTTTTCAAAAGCAGATCATTGCTACTTAGAATTTTTGGCTTCACCTGAAACATAAAAGTAAATTTTGGTTTTAAATGAGGAACTTTGTAACTGGAAGCAAGGTTGGGTTATGAAAGATAATTATGGTTCCATAGTTTATCCATAAGGGTGAAATGGATTCAACATAGGAAATTTCCATTCTTGGCTCACTGAGGCCTCTGTAGAAAATCTACTTGGTGTACTTCCACAGGGGGGCACAGCACGAGAATTTAGCTGGATAACTGAGATGGAAGAAGTAACAATTCAACCAAAATATGGCAAATATACTCAGCGGCTTTTTATAGAGTACCATCTCTGGAAGACTGAGAACACTGAAGCAGTTAGTCCTTTCTTTAGGATGACTGATTATAGGCTCTTTGGGGGAATGTGATTCTCTACAGATACTCTTCAGTGCTTTATTAAGCTTTGATTTACCTGATGTTTGCTCCATATAATGCTGTTCCATAAGAGCACATGAGGTTTTACAACGATCAAGTATAGCTTGAGACAGGTTGTGAGGGTGAAGGCATTGCACACAATTCCTGTAAGGAGGAACAGAAATGAAACATTTAATCTTTGTAATGGTTGTAGTCCATAGTATTTTCTGCAAGAAATAAAATATCAAAATAGAACAGTTCTGCTTTAGGACAGGAGTCTTGTAAAACTGGGAAAGAAAGCCATGACATTTATTTATAATACTCATTGAATTTAATACCATGGCAAAATATAACCACTATAAATATTTTAATAATGTATAAAATAAAAATAATGAATTTTCTGTATTGAGAAGAAAAATATCCAGGAAATGCACAGATACTTTTTTTTGTTTTAAAGATTTTATTTATTTATTCATGAGAGACACAGAAAAAGAGAGAGGTAGAGACACATGCAGAGGGAGAAGTTGGCTCCTTGCAGGAAGCCGATGTGGGACTCGATCCCAGGACCCTGGGATCACACCCTGAGCCAAAGGCAGACAGACGCTCAACCGCTGAGCCACCCAGTCATCCCAACATAAGATACTTTCATCACAGATAAAACTTACAAAAATATTTTAGAGAATAAATGTTATACTATTAGAAAGGTTTAGCCATGAATACAAAGTTCAAATTTCAATTGGTTTCACTAGAAGTAACTCCAACATTATGTTTAAGTAGTGCATTTCCAAGAGAGTTACATAAATTACTATTTATTACTAATTTAAAATTTTTTACTTGAGCTACCAAGCTGGGAAAGTGAATGTCTTAAAAAATTTGAATAAAACAAATTGGAAGGCACAGTGATGTTTAGAGTAGTGATCTTTGAACATGCTCTAATTGTTCCTGGGAAAAACAACAGTGGCACAAACAGCAATGTCACCTTCATTTAACATACCACTTTTTACTTATCCATCACTTATTCCAGAGTTGCTTCACAGCTGCTATCATTCTTTATTTTTAAAATAATTTTTCAAAAACTTGAAAAATCCAGTAATAATAGCTAACATTTATTCTAGGATTATTATGCACCAAGTGCAAATATTGGGGGTTTTGTTTGTTTGTTTGACCTAAATTATCTAACTTAATTCTGTCACAGAACTATAGCAGATATTATTAATAATCGTCATTTCCAATATCAAGAAACTGAGGCACAGAGATTTCAACAATGTACCCCAGATCGAAGAGCTGATTGATAGTAAGCTGGGGAGTAGGCAGCTTTTAATCCTCATGCTGTACACCTAAAGCCTTGATTAAACAAGGTTATACATCAGTTATATCTCAATAAAGCTGGGAAAAAATAACAATGAATACTGAGTATTACTCTTTAAAACAACAAACCCATTTCTAAAAAGCTGTGAATGTCCAGAGTGAATGTCCAGATCAGTTCTGATGCTTTTACAGCTATCTAGTGACCAAAAGTAAGTTTTGGAATGTAAGTTTTCTAACTCCTAAACTCTCCATTCAGTTCTTTTTTAGCATGATGATAACAACTTACTTGGTTGAGAAGATTCAGCAACTTCTAAGATTAAGGAAGGCAAAATAGGATGAACATAGCTATAATGAAGGACTGCTTTATGTATATTTGGAGTTGGAGAACATACCAGTTTTCACTGCAGGCTGTGTGACACGTGGGGCAGTGTTCACAGAAGCGGCCAATGCTCCCAGGATCGGTGCACTCACACCTGCCACATACACATGTACCTCTTCCACTACACACTTGGCCCTTTGGATTGACACAGTGCTGGGCTGATGCTGACGGGCACTGGCACCGATCCCCTTCCCAGCCACTGAAGCACTGGCATCTGCCCGCTTCACACTCGCCATGCCCTGCAACAGACACTCCAGGACCTAAGTTATTGGGGCTGCTGACTTTGTGTAGTGTTTCCAAACATAAATTCCCCTCCCATATCCATGGAAACACACCAACAGTCAAGTGAATGGAAACAGCATCATTTTCTATTCGTCTTACAAGAACAGTGCTAGTGTTTAGGAGGGTCTATTTTCAAAGCTGTTCTGTTGTCAATAATCTCCTGATGCTAATCTTTTGTGGGGACTGTTGTGACATCTGCCTTGATGCAGTGGCTGCTTGGACACTTGAAGGTCACTGTACATTCAGTTTTATATTCAGTTTTAAATGAAAAACACACAAATATAAAAAAGCTACAAAGGCTGAAATAATGTTAATTGCCTGTTTTAAAATCTGAAGAACAAGAGTATTTGATTAATAGCTTCCATAATTTATTCTTTTGGTCTCTCATTATTGCTAAGGGCCTGGGATAATTTTGGTCTGTGAGGCAAACAAACCCTTCTAGTACTTCAGTTCTGCTAGTGCCATTTTGAAGATGAGATCTCTGGAGAAGTTGAACTAATCCTTTCACATCTTTAGGACATTATTTAGCAGGTTAGAAGGGCATGTCCTAAAATATGCTGTGAGCTGTTATTAGTTTGTAAATGAGAGAAAGCAAGGTGGATTGTGTGTGCGTGTGTGTGCGCACATGTGTGTGTGGGTGCATGCAAACATACACTTGTGTGTTGGGGTTGGGGTCATGCATGCAGACAAATGAGTTAAGGAGAAACACTGGTTACATGTACTTAAATGGATTTTAGACTGCAGGAAGCATCTAAAATTTAATATGCTCATGTGAATTAGAAATCTTCTAAAGGGAATATATATTACAGGATTACATGGTATTTCTCAAGCTTATTTGGCTAGACTTTTCCTTCCTTCCTTCTTTTGCTTCCTGGCCTCATCCCTCCCTCGTTCCCTTCCTTATATTGAGAAGCACATCACATGGTAACTATTTCACAGAATCTACTGTTGGACCAACTCAACTGCTAATGTAAAACTAATGAGGTCCAGGCCAAACAAATGCCTGCCAGACCCTGTTCCCTATATGTAGGCTGCACGACTAATCCTAGCCAGCTGACCTGTGAACATGTGTTTTTATTCTCAAAGGAGACTAGTGAAGAAAATGTTTGTCAACCTACAGTTTGCATTTATAATTTATACACAAATAATTCAAAGCAGATTTTCAACTGCCTGTGGGCTAGTAGTATAGTCATATATAAGGGCTAGTACATTGGTTTTTGATATTTAACTATAAATAGAGACTGGAATTCTCAATGTATTTCAAGCTTCTTTGACAGATTAACAGTTGTGGGATATGAGAATTCCACCTGTAATCCATTCTACCAATGATGCTAGGTACAGCAGAATAAATATTTGGCATATAAAATATTCTGTGTATATAATAAAAAGGCAATTCTCCATTACATGTGATACAGGGCAAATTTCTAGTTTACACAAGAAAATCTGTATAGAAATTTTGTATAGGTTTGTTACTTTCCATATGGTTATAACAGGAAATATATCAGTTAATCAATAATTTAATATTTGCTTACCAAAATGCAAACATTAAAAGGGTGCTTTGACAATAAGTGGATTTAGCACACTGTCACAGAAAAATTAAGTCATTAAAAAACAATATTTTCTATTAAATTTAAATGTTGCACAGATTTTCTAACCTCTAGGTGGCAGTAACTAAATTAGCCAAAAAATACTTTTGATATTTTTGTTTTAAATTATTTCATTTTTAAATGTAGTCTGCATGTGGCCTCTGGTACTAATCTTCTAGATTACTTATGAAACCAGCATTTTCTTGGAGAATGCTATCCTTTGATAATTCTGTTGCTGGCATTGTTCCAAAAATAAATTGGAAAGGTTTAAATTATTACAAATTTATAATCCCATCTATAATAATGCATTAAGAATTTTCCAATGAATGGAAACTATGTTTTCATGGCTCACTGTCCTCTGAGCAAGCTGGAGGGAGTGACCACTTATGAGAATGAATCAGATCTTTCTTTTTTTTTTTTAGAAGGAGAGAAAGAATCTTTTTTTTTTTTAATTTTTTTTTATTTATTTTATGATAGTCACACACACACAGAGAGAGAGAGAGAGAGAGAGAGAGAGAGAGGCAGAGACACAGGCAGAGGGAGAAGCAGGCTCCATGCACCGGGAGCCTGATGTGGGATTCGATCCGGAGTCTCCAGATCGCGCCCTGGGCCAAAGGCAGGCGCCAAACCGCTGCGCCACCCAGGGATCCCTGAATCAGATCTTTCTAGAAGAATACTCTGATTATAGAAAACCTGCCAGACGCCGAAAGGGACAGAGGGCCAGAATACGTATTTGAACAAATCCTAGCTGAAAACTTTCCCAATCTGGGAAGGGAAACAGGCATTCAGATCCAGGAAATAGAGAGATCCCCCCTAAAATCAATAAAAACCGTTCAACACCTCGACATCTAATAGTGAAGCTTGCAAATTCCAAAGATAAAGAGAAGATCCTTAAAGCAGCAAGAGACAAGAAGTCCCTGACTTTCATGGGGAGGAATATTAGGGTAACAGCAGACCTCTCCACAGAGACGTGGCAGGCCAGAAAGGGCTGGCAGGATGTATTCAGGGTCCTAAATGAGAAGAACATGCAACCAAGAATACTTTATCCAGCAAGGCTCTCATTCAAAATGGAAGGAGAGATAAAGAGCTTCCAAGACAGGCAGGAACTGAAAGAATATGTGACCTCCAAACCAGCTCTGCAAGAAATTTTAAGGGGGACTCTTAAAACTCCCCTTTAAGAAGAAGTTCAAGTAACTCTGAACGTGAATGGGCTTAATGACCCCATCAAAAGGCGCAGAGTTTCAGACTGGATAAAAAAACAGGACCCATCTATTTGCTGTCTACAAGAGACTCATTTTAGACAGAAGGACACCTACAACCTGAAAATAAAAGGTTGTAGAACCATTTACCATTCAAATGGTTCTCAAAATATACCCTAAAAACTACAGAACACTTCTGAAAGAAATTGAAGAAGACACAAAGAGATGGAAAAATATTCCATGCTCATGGATTGGCAGAATTAATATTGTGAAAATGTCAATGTTACCCAGGGCAATTTACACGTATAATGCAATCCCTATCAAAATACCATGGACTTTCTTCAGAGACTTAGAACAAATTATTTTAAGATTTGTGTGGAATCAGAAAAGACCCCAAACAGCCAGGGGAATTTTAAAAAAAGAAAACCATATCTGGGGGCATCACAATGCCAGATTTCAGGTTGTACTACAAAGCTGTGTTCATCAAGACAGTGTGGTACTGGCACAAAAACAGACACATAGATCAATGGAGCAGAACAGAGAACCCAGAAGTGGACCCTGAACTTTATGCTCAACTAATATACGATAAAGGAGGAAAGACGATCCACTAGAAGAAAGACAGTCTCTTCAATAAATGGTGCTGGGAAAATTGGACATCCACATGCAGAAGAATGAAACTGGACCACTCTCTTGCACCATACACAAAGATAAACTCAAAATAGATGAAAGATCTAAATGTGAGACAAGATTCCATCAAAATCCCAGAGAAGAACTCAGGCAACACCCTTTTTGAACTTGGCCACAGTAACCGGAGAAGGACAAACAGTGTATGTTCTCACTCATTTGGGGAATATGAATAATAGCGAAAGGGAATATAAGGGAAGGGAGAAGAAATGGGTGAGAAATATCAGAAAGGGAGACAGAACATAAAGACTTCTAACTCTGGGAAATGAACTAGGGGTGGTGGAGGGGGAGGAGGGTGGGGGGTGGGGGTGAATGGGTGACGGGCACTGAGGGGTACACTTGACGGGATGAGCACTGGGTGTTATTCTGTATGTTGGTAAATTGAACACCAATAAAAATTAATTTATAAAAAAAAAAAAAAAAAAAGAAAACCTGCCAGATATCATCAGTAATTTCTTTTTCTGGGTATATATCTTTACAAGATCAAGGCATACTTGAGAATAACACTTAATTTTTAGTTTTCATTTTGAAGTATTTCCTGTGCAAAATAATTTAAAATATAAATAGCAGAATCATGTGTGATAAATCTGTTGCCATGCCCTGATTTCATAGAGTTTGAAATTCTGAATATTAAATGCAGATTCAGCATTGGTAATTATAAAAATTTGATTTAAAGATACTTTAACATATGTGCTAGCTTAATAGTAACTAGTAAAAATTACATGTATATATTTATACTTACCAGCACACAGATTTCCATGGTGATATGGACAAGAGAAATCATCCTTTTCACAGTATTTTCCATACACTTTTCCAAACTTAACTTTGTGACATAAACATTTTCCACAAACACAAACTCCTCGTCCACTGCAAACAGGTTGATCCTTGTGTGATTTGCAAGTCTCAGAAGGAAATTGAGCCTCATCAAAATGACATTTATTCTCATTACACTGGAAACACTTGGCATCTAGAAAAATTTCATCTACACACTTTCGTTTAGATCCTCTCCCATCATCACACTGACAGCTGCAGTTTCTGTGTATGTGAATTTTAGTGGTTTCATTGAAACCAATAGGTTTGATTATTGCATAGCTCTTTCCTCCTGTGACATCACATTTTTTCATTGTAACTGTTACATTGAAAAGAACCTAAATGGGGGGAGGGAAAGAAAATATATTTATATGTCCTGATTATTTTTATCGTCACATTATTTATATCTGTTAATGATAGTTTAAATCAATAACATACCATCTTATAGAAATTTATAATACCTGTAAATTATACATGCACTCTTTCATAGGTAGATGTAACATCCCTTTTTAATTTCATTAATGAACTAGAGAGTTAAAGAAAGCAATGACTGCTGCTTGTCTGTATTGTACCATTAAATGAACATGGGTTCAAGCCTATTTGAAATGTCTACTCTACTTCCAATGATTAATTGATGTCCTCTGCTGATTTCTTAGCAAACTTGAGAGGGAATGACTATTTTAAAAATTAAGACCTTAAAATGTGGAGTTACTGAATATTTGGCACAAGAGATATATCAAATAAACTAAAGGACTACTGCTGTACTGGTTTAAAACCATGAGATAAGATGTTCAGATGAACAATTTTTTTAAAAAAGATTTTATTTATCTATTTGAGAGGGAAGGGGGGCTGCACATGAGCAGAGCAGGGGGAGGGAGAAGCAGATTCCCCACTGAGCAGTGAGCCTGAAGCAGGCCCCGGGACTGTGACCTGAGCCGAAGACAGATGCTTAACCAACTGAGCCACAGAGGCTCAGATGAACAATTTTTATTTTTTTTCCTATTTTCTGGAGGCCCAAGTGAAATTTTAGGGTTCAATTTTAGTTTATACATAGTGTCAATGAAGGAAACCATGAGGCTTTCTCTGATGTTACTTAAGGAAAAAAGAGTTAGAACTCTCTCAATACATATTTCTCAGTGGAGATGTGAGCCCACAACTAAAGATCTGGGTTGGCAGGAGTTTATTTCCCTTGTGAAATGACAGATCCTGCCAAGTTTTTCCTTTTTCTCTATTTTTTCCTTTTTGTAGGACATGATTGGTTTAATGTGTCTCTGTATCTTTGTATTTGTTAGCCTACCTTACGATCTTCAGGTACTTTTGCAAATATGATTGTATGTTTTTTTCCATGTTAGAATGAGATCCATTAAAACTTAAAAATAATTTGTGGTAGCCTTTTTTGTTGGGGATGGATATACATATGTATGTGTCTCCACTCTGACCAACAGGCCTAGCACAAATACACACATGCACGTGCACACACATGCACACACACACAAGATCTGAAAGATCTAAATTTAGGCTTATATATTACATATATGCATCAGAAATTAGAATCCATTTCATAATAGTAAAATTAATGCAGTTGGTATTATGCTTGAAATGCTTTTTGTCCTTAAGAATGTTAAGGATTAACAGATGTGTAGGATAATGTGGTCATTGCCAAAATTAATAGAGCAAAACTTGGGGTTTATATAATTAAGAGGTCATATGACTCTCTCTGAAAGTCAAACTGTTTATACTACTTAGCTGAAAGTGAGGGGGGAAAGGGATTATAGACAAAGGAAAAGGAAAAAAAAAAAGTAAGAAGTAAGGAAAACCATTCTGCCAAACCTGATTTTGAAAGAAAGAACTACTAAGAGGCTAACCCTTTCTCAGAAACTTTTGCTAGTACAAAGTTTATCTATACTTAATGGAAAATCAAATATAAATATTTTATAAACTGGTATATAGTATCTTTGGAGCAAAATCCATGATTATGTAGAGACCTGCAGAATTAGATACTAGCAATAGTTAATTTCAAATAGCTTGTTGGAGCAACTATACTACCTGCAGGTTCTAAACTTCCCAAGATGGAAAAATACGGCACAGAACTTTAAAGATGAAAAGAAGAGGGATTAGAAATCTTCTAGTCTGAACTGTTCACTTAAAAGTGAGGCAATTGATGCCTCAAGACATAAATGGCTCACTGAAAATCACTGCATCTAATAAGAATTCTTCTGTGTGCTTACTTTCTTTTATGCCAACACTGTGAGAATCCCTATCTCCCCTCGTCCTATTTCCTAACACTGCAATAATCTGGGCCCTTTGTTTTCCACATTTTATCCCTTTCTAGTTAAAGGATACTTCTTTTTTTATTGTTCTTAATAAATTCTTGCACCTCTTCCTAGATTATTATGAGTGTATTGAGACAATAACACAGTGAAAGATTTTGGAGTTCTTAGCCTTTATCAATTGTTCCATCACTCCCATTGTTTTTCTGTGCCTTATTACCTTCAATTTCAAATTTATTCTGATAATTTTCAGATTTGAAACCAAAAAGGTATTATCATCCTAAGTGCAGAGACTACTTATTTGAAGAGATGTGCTTTACTGACATAGAGTGGCTGTCACCCCTACATTTAAAGTTATTATTAAATAAGTATTTAATATAATATGTGTTTATTTAACTTGAGAGTTTGAGAAAATAGTGGAGTTAAAACAAGTAGGAATTTTGGAAAAAGACAATAAAAACCACTTTGAAGGGTGCAAATAAGATCGTTGGAGTCAGTAGTAAATAAGGTTTTCCAGAATGGTTTGATTTTTCTGTGAGAAAACATGCCAGACAACTTAGTTTATTTTAAATGGGAAGAATGTACACCCACGTACTTCGTCATTGCTTGTCACATTTCCACATCCGTCTGTGCCTGGTTTTCGGGTCCCATCTGGACAGATGGCAGTAATATTAAAATAAACTCCTTTTACCTGGTTTTCCACCTGAACTTTCACTTCTGAAATGAGTTTCTGCAGAGACATCATTTTTTAATTGTATATTACAAAAGTTTCAGATGTAAGCAACTAAACAGTCAAGCTTATTAGGTCATTCTAGATTTAATTTTTAACTAAATCAAAGAGTCTATCTCTATAAAAGGATAAATATAGTATTTCCACATAATGATCCAATTATATTTGAGATACATAAGAAATACTGAATGATTATACCATCTTCATTTAAATTGTTCTATTTTTTTGCATAATTCCATGACTGCATTTTGATGACTTAAAGATATTTCTCGCTCAGGCTGTGTTACAAAAATAGTCATTTTAAATCCAACAGTATTTATATTTTGTTATAAAATTTAAAACATTGAGAACACCTATACTGTCAAAGGGTAAATCTTAACAGCTTAAAATCTGGAAACACATTTCTGACATTTACAGCTATTAAATAAACATTTCCATTTCAAACACTTTAGGCTATCATGAAAATACCTTATTGATATGGAATTGAAAGGTAAATTTTGGGGAGGGCATTCCTATACCGTAAGTATTAGAATTACCTGCCTGCTATGGTCCTATAAATTTTCTAAGCATGGCCTAGGATTTCTGTCAAGTCCCTGGGGCTTGATTGTATCAACCAAATTTGTTCTAATCCTTAATACTGAAATGGGACCACTTACTAGACAGAAAACCATTCACTCATTTATTCACTCAGTTATACAGTTACTCAAAAAAAATCTATGTAATGCTTATCATGTATCAAACACACACAAATTTCTAGCACAATCTCTGGTTCCAAAATCCCCAGCTACATTAAATATATACTGAAGATCTGTGTGTATTTCATCTCATAAAACAGAGTCTACCACATGCAAAAATCCTTAACTTGTAAACAAAAGGAAAGAGAAAAGATGAAGTATATACATAAGGAAAGAGTGAATATAGAGAAAAAATTTTTTCTAATGACTTCTAATTTTTTACTTGAGTAAATTTTCATCTTCAACTGTATAATAGATAAAGAGATGTGTGCTTTACAGACTAATAACTGACCATGGTGGTAAATCTAAAAAAATACTTCTTCAAATCAGTAAATTTTATTTGGATTAGATAAGACTGTGTTAGCCACATTTTTAAATCTCCCAGAGAGTACATCCATTGTAATCACTTAATTCAACATTCTCAGCAAACCAACAACTATTTCTAATGGTATGTAAATGGTATTGATAGGGTCAGAAGGAAATTCCTAATACAATAAGTGTTCTCAGTTCACCCTTCTGAAGTCCTTTCTCTTAAAAAGTTAATCTTGTTACACTAATGTTTTTTGCTTAAGCAGAGTGCAAAGACAAATATCTAAAATTTTGCTCAGTTTTGAGATTTAGAAATTAGGCCCCAAACATAATATTCAGTTTCCTTTTTAATATCTAACAGGTAGAGAGGAAGAATTTTTTTATATATATAATTGTTTGTATTCAATATAATTTATTTTTCATTTCTTAATTTCAGCTTATTGTAGTCATGATTTTTATTTAATTTTAATTCTAGTGGTAGTGGAATATAAAGGATAAAAAATAAAATGCAGTCACATTCATCATACACTAAATTTGTGTGTAATTTTATAAAATTCTTAAAAAGGAAGTGCAAAAAATAAAAAATTAGGGTGAAATATGTTTATTCTTTTCTTCCAATGAATTGTGAATTACTTCTGTTGGACTGTGAAGACAAAAAAAATTTCAGAATAATTCTGAAAATATACATATATGTAAAATAATAACAGAATCTCAGCTTAAGGAGATTAGTTAGCTAGGCTAAGTCTTAACTGGATTTATATAGTATTTTCCCCATTGTTTAAGGTTAATCAGAACTACAGTTAGCTAAGGCATTGGATGCTTATCCTGGGAAAATAAAGAACAAAAGCCAAATACTGATGTTCCCTTTCCATTGGTATAGTCTGACACACAGGCAAGTTTGTCAATTTATATTGTTTGGAGTAACAACTGGGTTCATACTATAAAAACTAGGGTTATTTCTATCACTGTACATTCCCTTATTTTGATTATTCCTGGGAACAAACTGCAGATGGGAATGAACTGTACACATTTGATCTTCCTTGATAAGAAGCTCCTCCAGTCCTAATGTTCTTTTGTAACAGTGAGAAATAAAAACAAAGCTGTTGTTCTTTATTTCATCCAATGTAGTTTTCAGATATAGAACAATTCCTTGGCAAACAAAACAAAAGTCAAGATTTATTTTCTTTTAAAAGAATAAAGTTTAAACAAGTCCTTCATTTTCTATCCCATGTCTACTTCCTGACATTCCCTTTTGTGCTCAAGTAGAAGGCAGAAGCTGCAGGGAGGAAATGAGAAGAGAAACCTGAGGTTTCTCACAATGCTTGGGCTACTATGTACACTACTCATCTCTACTGTGTCAAGAAGAGAATCAGAATTTGGGAAGTGAGGCTTTATCAGTGGTCCATAAGTTCCCGGTAGAATAAAGCATATCTTTGATACTATGTAAAAAAAGAAAAGAAAAGAAAGAAAAGAAAGAAAAAAGAAAAGAAAAGGAAAAAAAGAAAAAAGAAAGAAAAGAAAACAGGAACAGGTATTATCACACAGAAGGAAGCACCTGGGGCCTAGAGTTAAGAATGACCTGGGTTCTGATCCTGATTCTGCTGCTTGTTTCACCTTTTGTTACCTTGCTTATCTTCTTTGAGCAAAGAATGGAAGACTAACATCTCCCTTATGGATCCCTTGTATGGATTAAATGAGGTCATATATAGAAAGTAACTGGTTCTCAGTGATATAAAGTAACAATCACAATTGTTACAACACCTTAACAGGGATTATTCTATCCAGGTTTGACCTATACTAATGAGCAGATGTTTCTGTAAATCTTTGTATTTGGGTCTCTTCATGGACTGGGGATAGTGTACAGCTGTCAATTCAACAAAATAGTACACCTCTTCAGGTAATTCTTTTTTTTTTTAAAGATTTTTTATTATCCATTAATTTGAGAGAGTGAGAGAGGGAGAGAAAGAGAGAGAGAGAGAGAGAGAGAGAGAGAGAGACGCAGAGACACAGGCAGAGGGAGAAGCAGGCTCCACGCCAGGAGCCCGACGTGGGACTCGATCCCAGGTCTCCAGGATGACGACCTGGGCCGAAGGCGGTGCTAAACCACTGAGCCACCAGGGACCCCAACAGAGTTGTCTCAGTAATCTATATATTCCAGGTAGTTCATTTTCCCTGAAAGTTTGATGCTTTAGTGTGGATTTATCTTTATGACATAGGAAATTGTGACATTTCTGATAAAAAAAGTATATTCTTTAGCCATGATTTAGTGACTTACTGAACATTTGATTTGGAAGGAAATTCAGATAGCCTCTGGCTCAACATGAGTTTACTGTCAATGAGACAGTGTGGTACAGAAAGCTGAGATGACTTTCCCAAGGTTACATGGTTAGTTAGTGGTAGACCAGGGCTAAATTCAGGATTCTAGTTTTTAACCTAACTTTCTGCCCACTATGCCTCTCCAGATGACAGGACACTAATTTGTATCCTGCCATAGAAATTGGGGTTAAAAATTTTTGTGAAAAAACAAATTTATTTTATTTATTTATTTATTTATTTATTCATTCATTCATTCATTCATTCATGAGAGACAAAGACAGAGAGAGAGAAGCATAGACACTGGCAGAAGGTGAAGCAGGCTTCTCACAGGGAACTCAGTTCGGGACTCAGTCCCAGATCCTGGGATCACAACCTGGGCTGAAGGCAGACACCCAACCGCTGAACTACCCAGGTGTCCCTTCTGTGAAAAAATTATGTGTAATGTATACATACCTGATAGGCATCTATTACCAAATTATTTAAGTTTGCAGCCTTTGATTCTATTTCACCAGCGATGGTGCCAGGCAAGAGGGGTAGAAGATCCTAGAAAACATACAAATAATATTTACTTAATGACAGTAATATACAGTGGTTCAGCAATTAACAAATATTAAAAATTCTTGTAGTTATTAGTGGAAGGTGAGCCATTACATGAATGATAAAATATAAGATACAAGAAAAATATAAGCAACCAAGTAGCGCAGCCAGAACACTTACACCTGAAATGGGAGTGTATTTATATGTGCATGAGCATGTATGTATGCACAAATTACATATTGACCTAAAACCCAATCAGAGTACAGACCAGCATTTCCCAAAGTATCTTGCATATTCCGTGGGACATAGTTATCAAAAGGTTTCTGAGGGCAAATAAGTCTGGAAAGTTTTGCATATGGTTTCTTACAAGTAGATACTCAAAATGCACACTTGCAAAGTAAGGGTTCAGAGAAGTCCTGCAAGTTTTAAATAATCTAGCAGTAATAATAATAATTTGTTGCAGAATTTCTAACATTTTAAAATTACAAAACCCTTTTCTCATGTACCACATATAAATATTTAACAGAACTACTGTTTCACGGAGTGACCTTTAAGATATGTTGGCCCAGACTGGAGCATAAAAAATCATTTTTTGCAAGTGCAAGTTTCATGGAGTGGGTTTTCTTGATGGATGGTACTTATAATTATGGAGAAAACTCTAGGTATTCCTAGTGAGAAAATGAGAATTAGCGTAGGGTTATAGGTTTACCTGAGTTCTAGATGAAGAAAACAGAAGAAACCAGTCTGACTGAAGTAACACATAGCAGAGAAGAACAAAGCTCAAGCAGTAACAAACTGGACAATAATTTGAAATTCAACTATTTTTTTTCTCTTTATAATTTTTTTTAATTTATAATCTCATTCTCTTTTTTTTTCTTCTCAACTTTTTAAAAATTCTAGTTAGTTATCATATAGTGCAATAAAGGTTTCAGGAGTAGAATTTAGTGATTCATTGCTTACATACACTTCCCAGTGCTCATATCAAGTGCCCTCCTAATACCCAACACCCATGTAGCCCATTCCCCACTCACTTCCCTACATCAACCCTCTGTTTGTTCTCTATCTTTAAGAGTCTCTTATGGTTTGTTTCCCTCTCCTTTTTTCTCTCCTTACCCCCATATGTTCATCTGTTTTGTTTTTTAAATTACACATATGAGTGAAATAATATGGTGTTTGTCTTTCTCTGACTGATTTATCTCATTTAGTATAATACACTCTAGCTCTATCCATGGCATTACAAATGGCAAGACTTCATCCCTTTTGATGGGTGAGTAACATTCCAGTGTGTGTGTGTGTGTGTGTGTGTGTGTGTGTGTGTACACACCACTCTTCTTTATCCATTTACCAGTTGATGGACATTTAGGCTCTTTTCCATAGATTGGCTATTGTTGATAATGCTGCTATAAACATCAGGGTGCATGTACCCCTTCAAATCTGTACTTTTGTATCATTCAGATAAATTCTTCATAGTGCAATTCCTAGAGTAACTCTATTACTAACTTTCTGAGGAACCTCCATACTATTTTCTAGATTGGTTGCATCAGTTTGCATTCCTGAAATTCAACTATTAAGTTGAGAGGTTAAGAGCACAGGACTGAAGCTGTTAGGAAAGTTTGGATAAGTATATAACCTCCGTTAATGTGTTTCCTTATCTTTAAAATGGGCTTTAAGTTAATTATACTTCCTCATTGTTATGAGTATTACATGAGTTAATGTTAATAAACTCAGTGCCTGATGATAGTAAGTATTCAATAAGTGGAATCTGTTACTTTGTTAATAAAGTAGTTTGGGCATTTAATTTGGGCTCCAGCCCTACTTCTATGAATATTAATGGTTGTTACATTAAAAAGGGGTTCCATGGTATATCAATTTGGGATTAAAGTTTTGTTGTAGATTTCTAACAGAAGAAGTAGTGTGATTAAAGTAATGCTTTCAGATGAGATATACAGTAGTAAGGTATTGGGGAAGTTGGTGGAGGGAACACCAGTTTTTGTGGCTAATTTAAATAGATTCAAGAATTTGTTGAATCCGAAAGAAAATATAGTTTCTCTGAAGTATCAAAAGAAGTAAAGGACAGTGGGAGTGGAAAGAAGTAGATACCACACAGGCGGTGGAGATCCAGTGAATAGACATGTGCAATGAAAATTAGGGTATACAAACTTCATGAAAATGAAGAAAAGAGTTTCCTGGAAAAAGGAACCTAAAAGACTGTGAAAAGAAAGTAACAGCAGGGTCACAGAAGCAGTTTTTTATTGGGGGGTGGATCCCATGATGCTGCCAGAGTGACATGGCTGCGGGTCTCATCCGGCCTGAAGGATTATGGACAAAACCAACATTATTCTTAGGTAGGCGAGCTCTGTCTGGGTCAGCCATTTTGATGGCTCCTTCTGTTCCTTTATTGGATGACCTAGACCAAATCTTGGTATATCGTTACTATTGAAAACTAAACTGATATTCCTCAACCTAACCTATTATAAGAATATGCCTATGGACCGGAATAGAAGCAAGAGTCCAGACATAAAGGTGTAGTTGAATGTGATCTAAAAAAAGTCACATTCAATCATCAGAATGTAACCTGGTAGAAGTCTTCATTATTGTCACAATCAGTACTACACTAAGTATCAATCCCTACACTTGGTTCTACGTGTTACATACATAGAATTTATATATAAATCCTAATTTTTAGGATAATGTGTGGTATAACATTAGTTAATACATTATTAAATTCAGATTGTACAAAGTACAATAACTTTAGAGTCCTTACCTGGGGATATAAGTATTCTAATTTCAACTACCAATTTTAATTTTTGTATTTTGGGAATTAACATACCTTATACCAGTGAAACTGTTTTCCTTGAACTGCAAAGATGACATTAATGTTGTTGTCTATTAACTTTTCAGAAAGTTGGCCTAGTGAGGGATGTTCCTACAAAGGAAAATGAAGAAAAGAAGGGAGTGAAACTTAATAGCTCAATCCCACAAGTACCCAAACATCTATTATGAGGAAAATCATACGACTGACATAAAAATGCATTGTGTTGGGAAGGATATGGTTTTATTGGAGGCATTTAAATTCCTTAAAAAAATAAGATCAGCATCATAAGGATATTTCCACCTCCCATAAAATCTGTAACTCGGAAAAATGAAGAGGGCTGAACCAACATTGTGCCAAGTATGTTCAGCACCTGTTTAGATTAACATTGGCCTCACAGTGGTATACCTGAAAGATAATGTGCTATCAGAAATAGACACATTAGTGACATTCATATTCTGAAATTCAGTAACAAGTGTTGAAATGCAAATATATGCATGTATAAACAGAAATATATATTCTATATATAACATGGTATAGAATAAACTTTGTTTAAAAGCAGAAAACCTGATATTCAAATCCCAGGTTGTTGCTTTATGACAAAAATTCTACCTCAGGTCCATCCTGTGTAACATGTTAATGGTTTTTGCAAGATTAAAAAGATACCAATTGTATGTGATCTATTTAGTGCAGCTTCTTATATATAGTAAGTGCTCAAAACTAATAGCAATTATCATGATTTTTATTTCCAACAGCTTATACAAAATGTATACAGATCTCTCAACTTATTAGTATACTTAACCTTTTGGCTATGTGACATATTATAAATCTGCTTTACTTTGATAAATAGATCTTATGCAGAGCCAACTGTGACACTCTGGGTGACTGAGAAAGCTGGGGAAGAGTAGAGGAAGGGTACACAATTTAGTAAATATGAGAAAGCTGCCAATTATGGAATGATATCTAAAGTTATATAGTTAGACATAGTACTTGATATTTTTTTCTTTTCATAAGTGCTCTTCCAGAAATTAAAGTGATGATCTCAAATAACAACTTCATAACTAGACACTTCTCAGAGGGATGATGTCATAATTCACCTGGAGTGGTCCTCACCTGTCCATTGGTTGCAAGTTGCAAATGAGGATCATGTGACTGAGCTAATTAGTACCATGTGATTCAAGTTCAAATTACTCTGTAGTTTTTACTCCTCCTTTCACCCTCCAATGCTAATTGTGTTAGGGGAAATGTTGCTAAACCATTTTGATGAACATTTCTGTATTTGGGCAAACTATGTGAACTTAGTAAAAGAGCTAATTTGACTAGTTTCCCTTATAGCCTAAACTCTGAGACCCACGTATTAAACTTACATACAAAAAAAAACAAAAAACAAAAAAATAAACTTACATACATAGATATAAGATAGAGCCTTGTGTTTAAAAATGCTATTGCTATGAGTAACTACTAGGATCTGTTTGTGTCCTCCTCTCCAAATTCATATATTGAAATCCTAACCTTCAAAGTGGGCCTTTGGGAGATGATTAGATCATGAAGGTGGAGTCCTCATGAATGGGATTAGTGTCCTTATAAAAGAGGTCCAGTGGAGAAAGCCACCTTGCTGTTTCTACCATGTGAGGTGGTGGAAATATTACCGCTAGAAGGTGTCATATATGAACTAGAAAGGAGGCTCTCACCAGATCCTGAATCTGCCAGTGCCTTGATCTTAGAGTTTACAACCTCTAGAACTGTGAGGTGTTTTGTTACAGTAGCCTGAATGGACTAAGATAATAACCATAACAAATATGTTTTATTTCTATATAATCTGTTATTGTTGAGGTAGAAAAAATCAAATTTTTATGAACTGCATTAAAATGTGATATGAAACTAATTTATGAAGAGGTTAAAGAAGTATTAGATTTGCATAGGAAAAATTCTGCCCCAAGCAATTCTTAAGAATGTAACTTTAAATAGAAAAACAATTCCCAAAACATAAATTCTGCCAGATAAATTCTTATGCCTTACTCCTAATACTGTGTATACTCTTAAAATAGATTTATAACAGTTTCCATAATGTTAGTAAGTTAAAGAGAACAAATCAAGGAAGGGTAAATCTAGTTGTATTGAAATATTTTTTTAACGGCAACAACTACTTTTGAAATATTTTTGCTTTGACAAAAAATAATCACAGTTTGCCAAGCATTCCCCTTAGTTTTAAAGACCATTCATATTTTAAGGAAAATTTAATCCATATGTTTTTTTAACTAGTTTATACTTAAGTCACATAAAATCAATATTTAAAGAACATCCCAAAATGTAAGCAGTTTTGGGAGCCTTCTTAATCTCTTTCTCCCTTTCAAAAACAGGAAGTCACATTGATGGAAAAGTACACAAAATTTAAATCTAAAAAGTTCTAGTTTGGTCAGAAGCTCATTAAGAAGGTCAGTTAGATTTTTAGGTTTAAAAGAACACATTTTTTGAACCCTGGAAAGAAATCGGTTTTAAGAGAAAATTCCAGCTACTTTGAGGCAGATTTGTTAAAATTACAAATGTTTAGCAGATGTTTTAGTAAACCACTGTTGACAGGAGAACTGGATTAATGGCAATTTTTGAAGCCCCTTCCCCTTTCCTCCATGAAGCATATTATCTTTTAAATATTTTATCTTTTATGTCTTGTATTTCACTAGTAGAACACTCCCTCTAGGCCAGCTATCCTATTCTGGTGACGTCACTGCTTCACATCTCTAACTCCCCCTCTGTCTAACCCATCACATATTGTTTCTCTAAACTCTAAAAATAATTAATAGAGATAACAGGCATTTCAGGGGCAAAAGGGAGAAGGGAAAGCAATGTGCCAAGACAGCTGCTAAGTATTTAAGGGCAAAAGGATTCCTTTCACATTTTTCTTCTTCACAAGCACCTTCACTGTGATTTGTGGGAAATAACTTCTAAATGTCAGAAGGGAAGAGGAGGTATGAAAGATTCACAGGGAGCAACTCCAGTTAAAGAGATAATCGTGTAGAGGTGTATGGGAAAATTTTAATAATGTGCATAAATAGTGACAAAAAAGTGTTTAAAATTCTCTTCATAAAACTGAACCTCATAGTAAAAAATTTTATAAGCTAATAGAGAATTTATAGCATTGAATATCATCATAAGATGAAAAAAACCCTCAATATCTTATTAAATAAAGTACTAAATTATCTGGATTATTTTTTTTACAGTTCATTTTTTAGAAGAAAGACAAATAACATGAAAGCAATCTGCTAGTAGAGACACATTTAAGATGAAGACTCTAAATTCTGTGTTGTCAATCCCCATCTATTGTAATAGCATATTTTCTATTTTTATAATTGCACAGTAGTAATCACATAGACTAGGGTTTCTCATGAGTGGCACTAGAGTATTCTGTGTTGTGGTGCACTGTTCTTGTCCTGTGTTTTGTAGGATATTTAGCAATGTCCCTGGCTCTACTACTAGGTGCCAGTATCTCCTGCCTTCCATAGTTGTTTGTAACAACCAGAATGTCTCTGGAGATTGAGATGTCCTTTGGGATTGGGGGGCGGGCAAAATCACTCCAGTTAAGAACCATACCAAGAGCAGGGGCTCTGGAAACAGACCTCCTGGGCTTTAATTCCTGGTTCTGCAATTACTAGCTATGTGACACTGGATAATTGTTGTAACCTATCTGTGATCCAGTTGTCATATCTATAAAACAGGTATAAATACTACTACCTACTCTCATAGTTATGGTGGAGACTAAATGAGTTAACATGTATAAAGGCTTTCACTTACCATTCTATAGTTATTAAATCCAGATTATGGTGAGTGGGGGCTCATGTCCTGATGTCACACTGCTTGGTATTTACCATAGGCACCACTATGCAGGGCTGTGTGACCACAGACCAGTTCCTGCCCCCCTTTAGTGTCCCCATTTTCTCATTCATAAAATGGAGGTAATAGCAATATCTATACCTCACTGTGATGTTGGGTGTTTATATAATGTAATGGGCAAATACCATAAAACTTAACAAAAGACAGCTTTCAAGAAAATACTGCTACTTAGTGAAAGACATTTGGAGACCATTACCAAAGGCTAGATGTTGGGCTCCACTTGGATATGCTTTATTTGTTATAACTTGGTACCTGGCCCCTCAAGTGTTTGAATTTGTGGGGCCAAACACAGTATCATTGTAATCATGATATCCCAGTTGCTGATGGAGGAGGACGGACTAATAATTTTTGTAAGTTTTTCAATTAAAGTGGTTATAAAAAGTTTTCTGCTTAAATATGATTGAGCTGAGACATGTCATTTAATAGGAACATTCTATTTCATAAATATTTTCACCACATTTGGTTTTTACAGTGTCACTTTTGCAAACCATTATTTTTTTCAGAGCTCATTTTCAGAATCCTTATATAAGCAGTGCCAGGCTACTGTAAGCCTAGCCCAGGTGTTTCTGTGTGCAACTTTTGCTTTCAACTTAAAAGAAAAAATAAACTAAATATTGTTTGCAGGGATCATTCCCTGGCTATTTTTCTTTGAGCGTGAGAAATCTTCAAATTAGGTCTAAAGTTGTTATTGAAGTCATTATTGTTCTTACGGCATTTATAGTTTTAAACAGGTAAGACAGCAGTAAGCTAAAATCGGGCATTTTGCTAATGTTTAGTGTTGTAATAATATTTTTAAAAACTGCAGCTGGACTAGCCCAGGTAGTTTCCTGTGAGCAACTATTTTGCTGTCAGACTTAGCAAGAAAGCATAAACTAAATATTGTTTGGCAGGTATCATTCGTGGCTATCGTTTAGCTGTTGTAGCGTGAGAATATCTTCAAATAACGGTCAGCAGGATGTCTATAGAAGTCCTTAATGATACATACAGGCATTTAGATAGGTTAAACAGGTAAGTACAGCAGTAAGCTAAAATCGGGCATTTTGGCTAATGTTTAGTGTTGTAAATAAATATTTTTAAAAACTGCAGCTGGACTTAAAATATTAATTTTGGTATTAGATAGGTTAAAATATTCATTATTCTGGTATTAGATAGGTTAGGTAAGGTTCTTGACTGATATTTATAGTATGTTGGTGGCCTTGTATAAATCAATCTAAGGTCTCTAAGTTTCAGCTTATTTATAACATGGGTTGTGGTGAAGACTGAATGAGTTCATGTAAACAATATGGTCAGCACTGTGCTAGTGCAAAATAAATGCTCAGTGAGTTAACACTTTTATTAATATGTATCTGAGATGAAGAAGGTGAGAAGCAGAAAAAGATATTTAACACTTTCTGAAGTTATTTATAAGTTATTTCTTAGCAGCAAAAATGGTTAACAGGGCTCTTTCCTGAAAGATTAAAATTGTCTCCTTACATGGAATGCTGTCTGATAACAGCATTCATTATAAATGAGCCTTGCAGATATTTGAAAATGTCTGAAAAAGCCCTTTCATAAAAAAAGGAACACAAATAAATATAATAACTTTAACTTTTGTTAACTCAGCAGTGTTGTGGATTAAATTATTCAGTCAAGTGTCTTCTCAGGCTCCTTTTCTGCGGTTCTGGAAAAAACTGAATATAATTGCAAGTAGTTCAGATACATGGTAAGAAAGAAGGCTTCCTAGGAGCTCCTACATAGCTCTGCCACTTGAATGTCCACCCCTTGATTTCATCTCAGGTCATGATTTCAGGGTTATGAGATCAAGCCCTGCCTTGGGCTTCACATTGAGCATGGAGCCTTCTTAAGATTCTCTCTCTCCCATTCCTTCTCCCCCTACCTACCTCAAGCTGGCTCACTCTCTCAAGAAAAAAAAAAAAAGGCAAACCAAACTTTAAAAAGAAAGGCAGCTTCCTAAACATGTTAAATATAGTTACGTGAGCAATCACACACAAGCAGAATATTGACTGCTTTTAACCATAAGGAAGCAAAACTCTTTAGTAATGCCTAACTAACCTTCTGCAGTTCAGCTTCCGTCCTCTAAGGCAGTGACCTGTTCAGCCCCTAGTATATCCAAATGAGCTGCAGGGGAGGGAATGAACTATGAAGCCAGCAGTAAAGTAATTCTGAGGAGTTGTATGTTAGGAGGGGTGAAGAATTCCTGAACATAATAGGATGAGGCACAAAAAAAGGCTGAGTCAAAAAAGAAACACCAAACCTAAGCTACCCAGTATGTTTAGGAAGATGGTAGGGTTTTGCCTATTTGCATGTTTCCATCCAGAACAGAGAGTCACAGCAACTTTTGAAAATCCATTAATAAGGATTCATTTAATGACCAGTGCTCTTCCAAATATTTGCTCTTTGGCTCCCTTTCACTGTTACTAGAGACCTTCATATTACTCTTGGCCTCCACCAAGGATGGGGTGAATGCTGTAAGGAAGGCTCTGAGTAAGGGTGGGAATCACCCACCCTTACTCAGAAGAAGCTGAGTGGGGAGACAGGTTGAAATCCCAGACCCTCAGTATTAATAACTTTCTTCTACACTATTAATGTTTTTTATACTAATAGCTACTATTTTAGAAAGAATGCCATATTTTAAGCTGCCATTATTACTAGATAAATTATAAAACACATTACTACTCAAGTTTTCATTCTGGAATTTGGAGAACAAGCAGTGGAAAATGTAATTTAATGAAGAGTATAACATTATTTTACAATGACCATATACTAATACATAATGTGTAAATAGAAACTATTTTAATTATATCTCACTTATTCATGTGAACCAAATTATGTGTTTTATGTCTTCCATAAGTAAGACTGCAACCAGGAAATTAGAGCAGCAATTATGCCAAGGACTTCAGCACTCTATCTCTTGTACTTTTCCCTTAAGACATTGTGGCAAAGATTTTAATGTAAGATTGAACTGGATTGAGCCCCAACTCTGCTACTTATTAATTTTTTAGCTCCCTGTCCTTAGTCAACTTACTTAACTACTTCTATCCTCAGTTTTTCTGTTTGTTAAAAAAAAGGGGGGAGGGGATAATTATGACTACCCCACAGAGTTACTCTGAAGATAAATTCGATACTGTATGCAGTGTTTGCTATAGAAGTTTCAGTTAATAAATACCCAAAACATGGTAGCTGTTATTATTCTGGAATTCACATTGACCTTCATGAAATATATGTGTACAAGTAGCAGAACTCTGGCTCATTTAATTTAGTCATATAAAAGGTCTTTTATTAGTTATTTCCTTTTATAAATAAAACAACCAGAGTGTTAGACCAAAAAGTTCAGGTACCATTCAACAGGTGTTGGCTGCTGGAGATAAAGCCAGGAAGCAAAGTGTTTGATGGCTTGTCTAACTTATACCTTTTAAAATTCCTCTAAAATGCCAAATAGGAGAGGATGGAGATCATTTTTAAATAAGCAGGTAAATATGCTTAGAGTCAGGTTCAGGGTAGCTTTGGATATAGGAAGTTTCAGAGTAGTAGCGCATCTTGCAGATATAAATAAATGCATAGTTGAGGGATCAATCAAAATGCTTCAACTTCTTTTGTTTTAGGGCAGTGTCCCTGGAAATGAAGGGAATGAGAATTCTTAGGAAGAGGATCCCTTAAAAGAATGACCTGGGATAAATGAGATAAAAATGTTCTTCTAAGGTATCAACAAACACACTGCTCCTTGGTTTACTCAATGCATATCAGTGACATGTGAAAGGTTCATTCTTTTAAGTAGGTGGAACAATGTTCAAGGAGGCAAATGAAGTTTATGATAGATTGTCCAAATTCCTGATGTCAAAAGAGCCCAAACACTGTGTAAAATTCCACCAGAAGTACAATTTATTTCCATAAGGTTAATATGGCATGGCATGATGTCTAAAAATCTGAGAGCATTTCTATGTCTTAAGAAATCTTTCCTATATGTATAACAGCACCCTCTAAAATACAGTTATAAAGACATGACTTCAGTGACTTGGCAAAAATTCAAAAGGACAATGCAATGCAATTTGAGAATAATGTGATTATTATTTTTTCTTTTTTAAAAAAAGCTTCTCCTTGTCTCACAATAGAATAGTTCTTCTTGTCTCCTCCTCCACTCCCTGGAAAATAATTAGAACTCTATCTCAGATTTTAAAAGATTAAGTAAAAGGAAGGAAAGATAAGAAATGACTAAATTAAAGTGGGTGGGTCTACCAAAGCATAATGTGGCTGAATAGAAGAGAATTAGCAAAGAGGAAGACATTATTGGAGTAATTCCAAATCCCAAAATTAAAAATTCAAACTCTAGTTACCTTTTAAAATCTTTAAGTTTTCAGACTGCTATCAAGAGGCTAACCCAACCAAGGTTTGAATTTGTCCTGTGAAGTAACACACTTGCTCCTCTAGATTTTCAGTGTCTGGTTAAGATGTTGCAGATTAAGTAAATTTAAACTATTTAAACTTGACTCATGGGAACCACACAAATTTCAGCATAATTTATATGCTTCTAATATTGCAATTCCCAAATTGTGCATGAGGTTCTTGGAGTGCTACAGTACACTCACCAGAGCGCTTTGAAATAGCTTTAATTTTTAAGGTTATAATTAAGTATCTGCCAGGTAGCCATGAACTACTAGCTGTTAAGTAGCTTGTGGTTTTAAGATTACATTCGGCTCTGTTCCTTTAGGTGATACCATATCTTTGCAAAACTGGGCAGCATGAAAATCAATGTAGAACAGGAAATGAGGGTGGTGATGTCCAGTTTGATTCTAAGGCTTAGGAAGTTCCTATTAGTAAGTTCATTACTAAGAATGACATAAATATACACATATGTATTTTTTGATGATTCATATGTATTATTTTTTAACTGGCTACTATATTTTTAGGATATAAATAGTTTGGACCTAACTACTTAATAAATAGAACTGTCAGATTTTTTTTCTGATTATGGAAACCAGGAGATAAATTATTTAGACACTAAGGTACTAAGATCTGAGAAAGTTTGGAAGCTTTTGTTCTAACATTCTGTGTAAATAGTTTCCATCAGAAATAAATGATGCTTTATACAGTTGATTTTCCACATGTAGAGTAGTAGCTAATGCTGGGAAAGATGTGGTTCTAGGAGATTCTATTAAGTGTATGATTCAGAGCTGAAGCTAACCCTCAGGAAGTAATTCAGATATCTACTGATTTTTTAAAAAGAGCCCCTATATATAGGTAAGCTTTAGAGGAAAGCAATGAGGTCCAGAATATTGAAAGCTGGCCTTGTGTTACTTTTTTTTTCTTAGTCTCTATTTAGTTCTACCTATTATACTGTGAGAATGCTTCAGGCCAAATATCCTTTTCTTACCAATTCTTAATGTGCTTTTAGATACTAACTCTGCAGAACTAATTTATATATATATATAATTATGTAATTATATAATTATTATATATATAATTATATATAAAATATATAGCAAAGGCATATATATGTATTTCATTTTAAAGTTCTTCAGTTGCATAAAAAGTGAGCACTTTTATCACTTTTATTTTTACATATTATAGAGTGCTTTTTAGCATATCAGAGAGTTAGCTACTAGATGTTGTTAAAATGTTTTAGACTTATATCAGTCAGCATTTATATATTGCATTATTCCATAACTTCTCTCTCATGGTTTATCCTGACTCTGTATCATGCTTGTTTAGGTAAACTCTTGGTATAAGAACAGCTGAATTGCCTACTTAAACTTCTACTGTAGCCCTAAGAGTCCTAACTTCTAAGAAGTTTTTGCTACATTACCATGCTTGTTGATCTGACGTAGATGTTGTTTTTGAGATGGCAGTTTCCATCATTTGGCACCACTATTCCTGCCAATTTGCTATCAAGAGCAAGATGAGATGTCTGATCTGTCATCACCAGCAGCAATCTTTTAGCTTCTTTTCGCCATCCAATATGACTCTTAAAATAAACATGTAATTAGATCTTGTACAATAACATAGATCCGTCTCAAGAAACATTAAGTTCAAGTTTAACAAACATTAAGTCAGGCTAGAATAATGTGCATAAATACAATGCTGTTTTCTAAGTAGCATTAACTTTTATTTATACATCCTCTATTTTACCACAGCCATTTGACTGAACCAACTCCCAGCTAAAGCTTTCTGGTGTTCCCCCAGAGGAAGAACAAGCCAGGTTTACGAAGTGCAGAGTACCCAACACAATGTGAATAGGAAAACAGGCTATTTCAGGCTCTTCCTTGGAAAGTGGTGAGTGAAAAGAGTAGCTCTTTTGGAAAGGATTTTCCAAGTGCATAAGTTATTCTTTCCCTTTTATATTTTCCTATTTATAACCCTCTCCCAATTTAGCTCCTCTGTCCTGAACACATACCAAAATGAATAACATTGGTGATGAATAAGAGTTAGAAGAATGCATTCTTCTATATTATGTTTTCACTCTATAAATCAAAGAGAAAATAAAAATTTTGGGATGCCTGGGTGGCTCAGCGGTTGAGTGTCTGTCTGCCTTCGGCCCAGGGCATGATCCTGAAGTCCCGGGATCGAGTCCCACATCGGGCTCCCTGCATGGAGTCTCCTCCTCCCTCTATGTGTGTCTCTGCCTCTCTCTCTCTATGTCTCTCATGAATAAATAAATAAAATATTTAAATAATAATAAAAAAATAAAAATCTAAATTCTTGGAGAATTTTCATCTGAGCAAAAATTCTATATTGTGAAACTTCTTACCTCACAGACAGCTGCCTGAAGCATGGCATCAAAACCTCCTTCAGGTGTATCTATGTTTCCAGAGATCTTTTGTCTGTGAACTGCTTTTTCAAACTCAGTAATGTTCTCCGTCAAAGATAGCACATGGATGTATCCATGAGGAGGCATACAATCTAAATTGTAGTCACTATATGGGAGAAAGATGAAATGCAAAATCTATTTTGCTATGCTTCATTTAAAGATACTATTCACAGTAAAATTGTGTGGTTTGGTGTAAGAAAGGAATATATATATATATATAATAAATATTTTAATGTATTTAAAATATTTAATAAATATTTTAATTTATATGTATCATATATATTTATATACATATAAATATATTTTTGCCAATATAATTTTATTAGAGAAAATCTGTACTTTATAAAATCAGAGAAAAGTTCGATATTGGTGGATATTTCTTTGCAAGTAGGAAATAAGATATAATGGTTTAGTGTCCAAAAACTTAAAGATGATTAAAATGTTTAATATAGGACACCTAACAGGCTTTTATTAATGGTTAATTTTAAGAGGAGATAAGAATTTTCAGTGATTTCCTATCATATCTGACCATGAAACAGCTGAAAAACACTTTTTGGGAACTGTTTTTAGGAATTTAGTGAAAATATTATACTATTCTTTGATATTTTAAAACATTGTGCTAATTTTTGAAGTGTTGCTTGGTGTGAAATTATTGATGAAAAATCAGAGTTTATTAAAATTACTTTGAGAATCCTGTGATGTCCCAAGAAGTGAAAATCATTCCTCAGGCACATGCATGTTCAGGGAGAAGGAACATGAGGCTCCATGAGGAGATGTATTCATTCCGACAGTTAGCAGAGCTGTTTTGGTAGATTATCTATAAAGTTATTGGGGCAACTTATGGAAGTAGAAAAGAAGATGTTAAAATGAAATGTTATATTAAGGAAGAACTGAATACATTTCTTAGAACTCAACAGGCTAATTAGGATATTGTCTGAGAAACTTGTATTTTTAAGGTCAGTTCTTGTTTCATGGTGGGGCATATGCTATTTAGAATCAGACTTTCAAAATGATAAGAAAAGCGTCTCTTTCCAGGATACAGACAAATTCTCATCTTTCCAGCTACCCTCCATGTCCTAGCTGAGCTTTCTTTGAAGTCCCATCTTAGGTAACATAATTATAAACATAGCAGCAACAAAGATAGTTGTCATACTGGCAATATAAGTACTTTAAATTTGACAAACCTTAATTTAACAAATTTGGAGCTTGAAGACAAATACAGAATTCTCAAACACGTATTTATATGCCTGTTTGCCTGAATATTGGAGGTTTATCCAAGATGACTAATATTATTTGTGAGTTTTTTGTGATGAAACGGAGTGATATTTGAAAAAAACATAGAAACTCCAAGCTACACATAATCTCATAAATTTTCAGATAGGAACATACCTCCTCTCCAAATATTTTCATTTCTCACTTAATAAAACAAAAATATAAAATTTAGTAAGTCCTTTATATAAAAACAGAGAGATTTTATAAGAAAAAAATTAATTTGGCATTTATGAAGTCCACACCAACCACCAGATACCTGCATTGATTATGAATCCTTTCTGGGTGGATGCTAATGTATGGTGAAACTGTTTTATCAACATAGGAGCCAAATCCAAGGCGGAAGTCACGGGAAAAATATGCCATTTTTCTGGATAAATCATTTCCAACGGAATTTAATTTTTCAATATTATTGTGCATTGATGCTGAGACATCAACCAGGTAATAAAGATCCACAGGATATTTCTTCAGAGGATGAATTTTCAGCATAAAATTAGCTTTAGCTTCTGGTTCAAAGAAAGACAGACATCATGTAGTATTCATTTTAAACATCTCAGGATAAGCTCTCAATAAATCAGTCATGCTTTATATACATAACAACTAGCACAAATTTGTGCATAATGAATGAAGTTAGGAATATCCTGGAATAATTTTAAAGCAATTTGAAATCTGTATCAGTTTATTAGTTTCCAACTTATACAATGCATTTCTCACAATTCCGTGGTGCAGATAGTGATAGTAACAAACGGACCATAAAGTTCTATGCTCAATATAAATGTAGTAGAGAATATATTTATCCCCATATGAACTTACTTCCCTTAGTATCTAGGAAAGCACAGCACAATACTGCAAGCAGCATTCTGTCTCAAGAGTAGGTGGCTGTATTGATTTGAAAGAGGCTTTTGGTTTGAAGAAAAGTAGAAAGACATCTTAAGAAAGTTACCTCTTATTGGATGAAGGTATAAATTCATCCTTTTAGGTTAAGGCATATTTACATATGAGATGTGAAAACTCTGGTACTGAGTAGTATGTTACACTATCCAAACTAAGTAATAACTCATTATGAATTAGATGATGAGATTCCTCCCAACAGTAGTCATGGGATGAGAAAGAATGAGACAGTGGTATAAAGAACTGTACCCACACTAGGGACCTGGGCAATGTAGGGAACAATATTTATCTAACACATAGTAGGTTCTTGATAAACATATGTTGAAGAGGGATCATAGAGGCAAAGGAACTAGGTGTGAAGAGTGGGAAATGTGGGAGCTTCCCAACAACTGTGTACAAGACAGTTTTATTTGGTTTTCTGTCTTATCATTTGATACAAGGACTTATATCACTGTATCCAAGGATATGGCACTCTGTGGAGCTGGTAGTTCTGTATTTAATTTTTAAAATTATTTTTATCAATAAAATAAATAAATAAATAAAATTATTTTTATCTATTGATTGATCTTATTTGAGTATAGTTGACCCACAATGTTACATTAGTTTCACATATAAAACTTAGAGGTTTATGAAGTTTATACATTATGCTGTGTTCACCACAAGTATAACTACCATCTGTCTTGTTACATAGCTATTATAGTATCATTGTCTGTATTCCTTAGACTGTGTTTTTATTCTCATGTCTTACTCATTCCATAATTGGAAGTCTGTAAGTATATAGTAAAAAGTCATCTATATAAATATGGACAATTTGTGAACTTTACTGTTTTAAACAATAAAGTAAGTGCTTTGCAAGTCATTATTTGTCAGTGGAGAGTAATTCGTGTAGAACAATTTTTTTTAATGAACACCGATTTGTATATACAATTGATAGCCTGATCTACTTACCAGAAGATATTTTATTTATTTATTTATTTATTTATTTATTTATTTATTTATTTATTTACTTTTTATGATAGTCACACACACAGAGAGAGAGAGAGAGAGGCAGAGACATAGGCAGAGGGAGAAGCAGGCTCCATGCACTGGGAGCCCGACATGGGATTCGATCCTGGGTCTCCAGTATCGTGCCCTGGGCCAAAGGCAGGCGCTAAACCACTGCGCCACCCAGGGATCCCCTACCAGAAGATATTTTAATATATTTTCAGTCTTAATGTATTCAAAAGCAGAGACATTGTCTTTTAAATTATTTTACAAATTAGATGTTTTTAAAATCAGTTATAGAATATATTCAAAATAAGGTTTTTCTGGTACGTAATAATAATTATGGGAGAAATTACTCATTCCTAATTTGCCTGTATGTGCTGGAAAACCCTTTACTGTAACACTCAGTTTTTTGGCCCAAGAGTTTGGGAGATGTAAAGGCCACTCAGTCCACTCTCTCACTCCTTCCCTTTATGAGCTGGGCTGCCTCCAAAGAGCATATATTCAGCTCTGCTTTTCCAGTGTCTGGTAAAAAGACCTGTCCCTGTGGAAGTGTCTTGCAATTTGGGTGGAGAAGTTCAATTCAGGAGAAAGTCAGAATCTAGACAGGGCCAGATCAATAAGAAATAGAAATGGAGCATAATTAGGGAGCATGGCTCATGTGGCTTAATATGTGGATCAGCTGCTGCTTTTTTTTTTTAATTTTTTACAAATTGGATGGTCATTTTTTAACTCTTGACTTGGGTATAAGGCTAAAGACCTTAGGCACTGGTCACATGGTGTTTTCATCTTGGTGATCATTACAATATATGGTGGCTCTGTCTAAAGATGAATGGCTATGTGATTTCATGGAGTTATTGCAAAATTTACCAGATATTTAGTGTATTGTGCAGGTTGTTATAAAATTGGTTGGTTATCTTAGTCAAGGGAATCTGCAAAGGCACAGTCCTTAGAGGACAAAGATATTCAGGGAGGTCCAACCAAACGTTAGCTGTATAGGGGGCCTCAGCACACACTAGCTTCTCTTAACCTTGCAAGCAAATTCCTAGTCTCACTGGCCTTAGCAAAGAAGATGGTGGTAAGAAAGCCTGCCAAATGGTCAAGGTTGGAGGGTTTAGGCTGCTCTTGATTTTGAATTATATAGATGCTTGTCTCAGTTTTGTACCTGGGTCACTTGAAGATCTCAGGCTGAGGCCTCAGGAAGATAAAATTTTAATAAAGGGGTAAAGAGACTCTTTCCATACACAGGCCTTTTAGTCATTAATGGGGAATATGACAATTACCATTTCTAAATTGCAAGGCATTTGCAGCACTTAGGTGGCAAAGTCGGTTGAGCGTCCAACTCTTGATTTCGACTCAGGTAGTGATTTCAGTGTTGTGAGATTGAGCCCCAAGTCTGGCTCTGCACTCAGCGGAAGTCTGCTTGAGATTCTCTCTTTCCCTTTCCCACTGCCCCTACCCCCTCTAAAATAAATGAATAGATCTTTTAAAAAAATAATAAACTGCAAGGCATTTGAGGTTCCCATAAAGTTCTGACTTTAAGTCATCAGCTCAAGATAGGCAGCCCTAGACAGCCTGATCCCAAACCCCACTTTGCTTGCTAAGGAGGAAGCTGGAGGGACCAAGCTTGGATTACTGTGTTTTGCCTCTGAGCTTGAGATATTCCACATGTGCTTTCAAGCTGACTCTTGAGGTTTCATTATATATGAGGAAGAAACCTTCTCAGAGACAGTAGAAATTACTTTTTATTGGAACATGGATACTGTACCCCCAGATAAAATCTCCACTCAGTTCATACTGGAATGCTACCAATACAGGGTTCAAAAGGAGGATTATATTAATGAGATTTTGAATATTAGATGAGAAAAAAACCACATGTAAAATAAGACTTAATATTTATGAGGTTATCAATGTAGGCCGCAATGTCATAAATACTACTCTGAGAGCGGAGCTATGTAGGGTGGATTCTTTTAGTGTCTAAGAGCTACTAAGTGAAATAATCTATTTAAAATATTTAGCCCAGTATTTAGAAATATATATATATATATATATATATATATATATAGTAATTATCACTATTAGTATTACTAGTATTACTAAGCTTCATTAAGGTGAAAACCATTTATCTCTAAAGCTTCTGGGTTTGGTAAGGGCAAGGCTCCTCAGAAATGTATTTAGCTAAACTACATTTGAAGCACATTTTGATACATCATTTCAAAAGGTCCACATATTTTAACCTTAGTGAGAAGCTAATTATCTATGTTTTCTCCCCCACAGAGTAGGAAAAACTGAAATAGCTTCTCTGTTTGAAAGGAAAGAATATCATCTGGCCACAAAATGTTTATGCCACTATCTATATTATCTCCAAGAAAGCTTCATTCTTACACCTTTTGAGATTCTAAAGGCTCAGATCCTTTTTTCCATCAATCAACTTCAAAGGGAAGAAGTGGGTCTGTGACATAAAATAAGAAAGAGGACTTGGAGGAAAGCTGAGACCTACTTAGAGCTTTTGCCAGTATTGATTTGAATAGCCCAAATAATTAGAAGTAGTTAGAATGAGTTTAAAATCATTCAAATAATGATGTGAACTGAAGACTTGGCTACAACAATCATGACTGGACATTGAGAAAAGATAACTAAAACCGTTTTGCATAAGATGAAACTAAGAAGCCATAAGAAAATATGGAAAGCTAGCAGGAAGAAAGAACAGCCAGATTCTGTTCATTACACTTGGGCGAGGGAAGAAGGCCCCAAAACAAGATAAGACTGAAACATCAAGGCACAGACTCCAGCATGTTTCTGGATTTCTGTGGGGGATAAAATAAGGGATAAGTGCTAGGGGTGGAGGGGAAAGTGCATGATTTCTATATTTTTCTGGTTTTTAAAAATTTTTTGAATTTAGGAAGAATACCTGAAAAATCTTACATTTAAAATTAAACTACACTAAATTAAAGGGCATTCTTTTGTTACAATGTTAAAATGAATCAAGTTTGAAAGATTTTCTTAAAATAGGGAGGTATAGATTGTATTAATCCTTATTATAGACATTGTATTACTTCTGAAGCAGAATTAGAGAATTCCTTTCCCTCTTCTCTCTTCCTAAAGATTTCATTTCACTGTAGGATCAGTAGCTTCTTTATATTATTTTTGCTTAAGATTGATAGGTAAAAATAAAGAAAAAAGTATAGTTTAAGAAGTAAAAGTGAAAGAAAATATCACTTTTAAATCTCACTTTAAATATATAAACTATATAAGAGTCCTACTACCATTCTTTTTTTTCCCTACTACCATTCTTTAAAAAGCCTAGTCAGTATATCATATAATAGAAATATTCATGAAAAAAATTTAATTCTTTAATTCTTAATAAATGCTACATTGAAGGTAATGATTTTTTATAAGATAAGAATAAAATGATTATAAATAAACCAAATCAAAATTAGGGAATAAATACATTTTATACTTAGGTATGCATTGTATATGTCATGGTAGAAAGGACTTTTATATTATGAGGAGTAATGTTTCTATATATCTGGAGTTGGTAAAAATGTAGCTTTATATATTATGCCTCAAAGCTGGCACATCCTTGATGCCACATGCATTTTTAGATGAACTTCTTAAATATAATTTAATAACTACTTGTTATATATGCATATTATAAAATATAGTTCTTTTGTAGCTATGTTGGAAAGATGGCTTATACACTTTAGACAATTACACCAATTTGCATGTAGAAATTCAGACAGTAGTGGGAAACTGAATAAAATCAAGCCATATAATGATTGACATAGATATTAAGCATTTCTCTTTTCACTCTCCTACTCCTCATATACCTTCACTTACCATCACTTACCACTTGGTGTTGAAGTCTCCCACATCTTTGTCCACCCTGTGTTTCCTGCTGAACTGCAGCCTCATATATAATAAAAGTCATTACCTCAAGCTAAGGTGTCTCCTTTTGAACTCAGTACCACACCATCCACGGAGAGCAGCCATCCCTCTCAGCTTGTTGCTTGAGCCACAGCCCAAGTGTCCCAGTGTTCATCAGTCACCAACCCCTGGGGATGCTATCTCCCATTATCTCTCATGTCTATCCACTTTTCGTCTGCCTCATTACCATTATTGTCATTGCTTATCTATAGCACTGAAGCAGTTACCCATCTTTTGAACTGTTAATTTTTAGTCTCAGAAGGATTCAACCATCATTATATCTACAAAAAGTGACAGACTAAATTCATTTAAGTATATAAATTTAGATGTTAACACACCCATAGGAAAAAAATGCACCATTGTAAGTTTCAAATCCTCTGTTTAAAAAAGAACAGACTTTTTGAAAGAATATAGTCACACTTATTAGAGGTAAAATAATATTTGATAAGCTTCATGTATAAGCTGCTGAAAAGTAGTGTTCAGTTAGAAAAAGAGGGAAATTTGTATAGAGAGGCATATAACACGCTAAAAAGAGAACTAAAGTTGGTTAATAAGTTTAGGAAGCTTTCTAGTACTAGAAAAAAGGCAAAAGAAACAGGTAACAGACTAGTTACACTTAAAAATGGAAGAGATTGAAAAGAATGAAAAGACAAGGTTGACTCCTAAAAGCTTTAACTGAATATCTATTTTCCTTGTGAATAACCTGATGATATAAATTAAAAACCTAAATAAATGTGTATCTATTTGACCTAGTAAATTTACTTATAAGAATGTATCCTAAATGAATATGCTATTTTATACAAAGAAACATGCATGATGAGGATCATTGAAGGTTTTAAAAATTTTCACTCAAATTGGATTGGGATTGACTTCTAGTTATTAATTCATTTGGATCTTACTAGATTTATAGACTATGTTTATAGAAAACTCTCATTGTTATAATATTGTCTTTCTAATCAAGAACATAAAATTCTTCTGTACTTTTTCATTTCTTCTTTGAGGTAGCACAATAGATCTCATATTTTTTTAAAAGTTTATCCCTAGATTGTTTACATTTTAGGTTGCTGCTATGAAAATTGATGCCCTTTTTCATTATATTTAATATTACATAGGAAATTTATTGATTTGACTATTTTAAAAAACCTGCCATATTTATTTATTTTTTAAAGTATGTATATCTTATTTATATAATGATGACTGAGGAATTTATTTTTAATTTTTATTAATTTTTAAGTTCTAGGCCCAATGCAGGGCTCAAACTCATGACCCCAAGATCAAGAATTTCATGCTCTATAGACTGAGCCAGCCAGGTGCCACTGTTTTTTATTTTTAATTTTAAAAGTTAGTTGATTTGCTTGGATTTACCAGAGACATATAATGATAATTTTGCTTTATCTTTTCAAAATATTTATAACTTGTATTTGGTGGGGTTTTTTTGTTTTGTTTTGTTTTTGTCTAACTGTTTTTAAATAAAACTTCCAGAAGGATATTAATATACATTAAGAACTGTTCTTCAATTTTGCTTTTGGCAGAATGGACGCTAAATTTTACTGTATGATTTTTCAGCATCTGTTGAGATAACAATATATAATTTTTTTCTTTGGCATTGTTTTCCTTATCACATATGAGTTAATGTAGTGGTTAATTAAAATGTTAAGGATTTGATACTAGGGTTATGCTAACCTTGTACAGATTGAGTAGCTTCTAGGCCTTTTCTAAAACTAATGGAAGAGTTTATGTAGCATAGGGATAATACATTTCCTGATGTTTGGGTGAACATGATTTCTTCCCAAGGAAACATTAAATATCCAATGTGGGTGTTTCTTTTATAATGATCTTGATTTCTTTTATTTTTATTAGTTTCTTAGGGTTCTCCCTCTTCTTGAGTCAGTATTAGTCACATATGTTTTTCTTAAAATTATCTATATTATCAAGATTTATACATTTTACCGTAGATTTTTATGCATAATATTTTCATAATGTCTTTTTTCCTTAGTATTTGTTTTTCTGGTATAATCTATGTAACTGGGTTATTTTTTCTTCTTTTCTTAATTAGCCTTGACAGCAATTTATCTATTTTATTGGACTTGGTAAAGAACCAACTCTTGGATTTATACATTAATTTCACCTTTTTATTTCTATTTTGCATTTCATTTTTTTTGGTATATTTTTTATTAAAATTTTTTTTCTTATGAATTCCTTCCTCTTATTTTTCCTTATGGCTATTCTGTTTTTGTTGTTCTTATATCTTAATTTGGATGCTTAGTTAATTTTTGTTCATTCTTCTTTAATAATAAAAGCATTTATAGATTTTAATTTTCCTGGGAGCAACTTCAAACACATTCCATATATTTTGATGTATGTTGTTGTTATTATTAAATAGTCTATGACTAGAGTTTGATTTATTCTTGGAAATAGACTTTATTTAAGGAAAAACTATTTTAGTTTGTTACTTAATATTTGTTTATCCTCTTGTATTGATTTCAAAATTTATTGCATGATTTACAGAGATAGTGACCTCTAAAAAGTTTCACTTTTTGGAATTAAGTTTTCTTGTCTAAGATATGACTAATATCCAAAAATATTCCATGGCCTTTGAAAGTATTATTTTATATATCAAGTGCTATAGACTAAATTGTGTTCCCTCCAAATTTATGTGTTGAAGCCCTAACCTACAATGTAATGGTGTTTGAAGATGGGGCCTTTGGGAGATAAATAGGTCATGAGGGTGGGGGCCTCATGATGAAATTAGTGCCCTTATAAGAAGAAACACCAGCAAGTGTGTGTCTCTCTCCCTCTCCAGCCTCCAAATCAGCCAGTACCTTGATCTCAAACTTTCTCGCTTCCAGGACTGTGAGAAAATAAATTTCTATTGTTTAGGCCACCTATTGTACAGTATTTTGTAATGGCAACAATAGAAGCTAGTGAATGGCATAATCTTATCAATCTATTTACTTTCATTTTTGTGTATCCCTTTCCAGCTGTTGCATATATATGTCCACCCTGGGCTGTTTTATATGGTGAAGAGCATAGTTTTAATTGGAAGCTGGGAGTATGCCTAGAGCCAAAAAAGAAATAGACTTTGTTTTTCTGGTAATCTAAGAATCTGGAAGAAATAGCTCTGCTTTGGAATAGGCAAGTCATGTGTCAATAATGATTATTTAAAAATTTAATGACAGGACAAGACCACCCAGAATAAAATAATGAAGACTTGAAGGCAATTGCATTCTGCTTAAAACTAAATACATCTAAATGACTGATGCATACCCGTGTACCTGAAGTTATCTTGCCATGTGTAGTGTACACCCTGGGATTCTCTAGCACTGGAGGAAAATGAATAATTTCCAGTGGCCTACTACATATGACAATCTGTGGAATACAATGTGATAAAATGGCAAGTATAAGCGAAGCATAGAAAGAAAAGTATGTGTTAATCTCAGGGGCCATCACAAAGCAGCTCAAGTTAATTATGATAATTATGAATTGTAGTTTTGTGTTTAAAAGTTTATCACAAAGGCTTTAAGGGCTTAGTTTAATTTACAACTCTTACTAATTAATTAATCAACTGATCAAGTCAACAAATACTTATGGAATGCTTGCTATAAGCCAGCACTCTGTGAGGCTTTGGAGAAACAGTGGAATAAAACATGTTCTCTTTCTTCCAGAGCTGGCAATGGAATAGGAACACAATTACACTACAATGTGATCAAGTCTGGAAACACATAATTATAATATAGTGTGGTCAGGTTTGCAGAGACTGTCCGAGGCCACACAGCTAGCTAGCTATAGGCACACAAAAAAAGCAGAATTCTGATTTCTTGATTCTGAGCCCACTGTTATTTTTACTACAATAGTACTGCCTTTCACAAAATATTGAATATGAGCAAATAAAGCTAAATTTAATTTCAAGTCAGAATCATAGGTTTATTTGAAAATCACCAAACCTGGACGCAGCTGGATCAACACTTCTCCTGGTGTCACCTGGGTATTAATTTCATTTTCACTTGGTATTACATGTACAGATGGATATTCTATTGAATCAGTCGAGCAGCCTTTGCTTATTAAGTTGGAAATAATATCACAACGTTCACTCCTTAATCCACCTGAAATGAAATCCTGTGTAAAAGAAGGAAAATCACTGACGTTTTTAGTGCATACCATCTTAGTTATAACCAAAAAAATAAAAAATAAAAAATAACCCACACAGCAAATATTATAAAGAAGCCATCTTCCAGTATTGCACAAATTATGGAACTATTCAAAATAGCTCCATGTTTCCAATAAGAATTGGAAGAGTAAGAAGCTTTAATTCCTAAATCTTATTTAAAAAGAAAATTAGTATTAACGTGGAGATTTAAACCAAGTACTTATATTGTTAACTGATCACTGTAAAATTATACCAACTTCTTCCTAAATATTTTACATTGGAAAGACTATTTCAAAAGAAAATTTATTCAAAATAGGCCATTCAGTCATTCCAAATATAAGTCTCAGTTCTTAAGAACCCAGCTGGATGTTTATTGTATAAATCATGTTTGGAATATAGAGCAAGCCCTCAGGAGTCACATGCCTGGCAAGATACTAAAATTTTTTAAAAAGTATATTGGAAGTCTATATTTTTAGACCATAAAATTCCCCAACTTAGACACATAATAGCCTGTAAATAATTTAATAAACTAGGGAAGATGTTCATAACGAGGCTGGGAGATACCAAGACTGCAGCTAAAATTCTCCAGATTTTGCAACTAATCTAGAATTTTTATTACAATTCAACATTGGTTAGTTGATTGTCATCATTCAATAGCTATACAATAAACTTGAAATTAGTGGAGAAAACTTAAAATTTAATTTATCCTAAGAAAAAATAGATACTTTTATTTTTTATGTAACCATTCAGGTTTTTCCTTAAGAATAGGAAATGTATCGAAAAGTACAGAAATATGTTTTATTATATATAATGTTGGCCTGGACTATTTGGAATATTTGCTTACACATTAGCTGGATATTTGCTCAGTGATCTTCCTGGCAGTGGCTATTTTGATCTGGCATTCAGTCATCCCTCCTTTAGTTCAGCTGATTCAGGGAGTTTGGTTTCCAACTAATCATTCATCCAAAGAATACAGACTGAATACTTACTTAGGGACAGTAGTTTGTTAGGTGCTGAGGATACAGAATAGAATAAGATAGAGTCCACGTCATCAAAGAGTCAACACCCATTGGTGAATTTAGCAATTAAGCAAGTAAATATAATTATTATGGGCATTAAATTTAGAGTAAGCACAGAATTTCATAGGTTTATGGAGGAAGAAGATTATCAAGTTCAATACTAATTGAATCTTAGATCACAAATTATGAATAGGAACATCTGTAGTACTGGCGAATATTAGATGGGATCGTGGTGGGCAATATAAAAGCATTCATACAAATATTTTAATTTAATTCCTTTCTTAATATAGAGCAGGTGCAGGAAAACTAAGGACAGTAGGACAAATAAAACAATCCACGGCCTGTTTTGTGTTGCTTGAATGCAAAAAAAAAATGATTTCCACACTTAAAAAATAATAAAAAAGAACATGCAAGGTATCCCTGGGTGGAGCAGCGGTTTGGTGCCTGCCTTTGGCCCAGGGCGCGATCCCAGAGACCCGGGATCGAATCCCACGTCGGCTCCCGGTGCATGGAGCCTGCTTCTCCCTCTGCCTGTGTCTCTGCCTCTCTCTCTCTCTCTCTGTGTGTGTGTGACTATCATAAATAAATAAAAAAATAAAAAAAACATGCAAGAAAGATAGTATGTGGCCCATAAAACTTAAACATTTTTACTTTATGGCCCCTTACAGTACTGATCCTGAACTAGAGTGTGAAGCACACTTATAATATAAAAATAATTAAAAGATAAAGGAGGATATATCCTTTTCTTTCTTTCTTTTTTTTTTAAGATTTTTTCAGGATATATCCTTTTCAATCAAGATTTCCAGCTATCATTTGGTAAATGACTTCATGGGAACAGAAGAATTCAATTTGCTTTGCTATTGACCATACACCTAGATTTTTAGCATGAAGTTTAAAATATCCAAAGCCTTGGGATCCCTGGGTGTCTCAGTGGTTTAGCACCTGTCTTCAGCCCAGGGTGTGATCCTGGAGTCCCAGGATGGAGTCCCACATCGGACTCCCTGCATGGATCCTGCTTCTCCCTCTGCCTGTGTCTCTGCCTCTCTCTCTCTCTCTCTCTCTCTGTGTGTGTGTGTGTCTCATGAATAAATAAATAAGATCTCTACAAAAAATCCAAAGCCTTAATTTCTTGTATTCAAATTTATCCATCTATTGATAAAACTCAGAGGTACTCAATATAAGATTTAGCTTATAAACGGTTTGGAGTTCCTCAAAGAAAGAAGGCATATAATGCGATAATATGTATCACTTTCCTTCAGAAATCTCCAGGCTAGATGGGAGATCCTCCTGTCCCGGAGCTTAAGGAATATTGAGGGTGCGAGAGGATTGGAACCTCTATACTCATTCATGCCTCACATGATAGGCCACAGACAAAGGGCCATGTGCATTTTAAGATGTAAGAACCCAGACTTCAAATCAAGAAAGAAATAAAGTACAAATAATTATGATTTTCTTTTTCAGCTAGGGATTTTATTCGTGTATACAGAAATGGAAAGAAAGGAATATAGTTAATTCACTGCAACTATACATCACACTATGCCATTTGACCTTTAAATGTCAAATCATTTTGCTGAAATAGGCAAAATAGTCTCAATTATTTTGCAATGTCTGAATCAGCATGGCTGTTTTTACTCCACTGTAAAAACTGAGTTAGAAAAATACTGCCAATTTGACAATTAGGTTTGAAAAGGAAAGAAAAGACCGTGACATCAAAATAAAGAATGGAATGCTGCCCCTACGCACTGTGGCCTACTTTCCACTTTGTATAAAAGAAAAGAATTTGAAACCACACCCTTTTAATTTGTGGTGTTTTGTGTCACTTTAATTTCTTCTAATTCTCATGTTATATTTTTTCTGTAAGAAATACACAAGCAAAATCATGCTCCAGCTGTCTGCATCTCAAGCCTATTTGTAAATGAAAAAACCCAGGTTGAAGTTACCCCAGGTGGCTTTTCATCAGTTGTCACTTTTATCCATTCAATATAATTATCTGGGGAAAAAAATAGGAAAAGTTTTTTCTTCTCATTTCTGAGTCTTTCTGATTTCCAAATACGGCAATCTGCACAGAAATGAAACAACTCTATTATCTTCCTTTTGACAGTGAATGCCCTTTGTGTTGCATTTTAGTATAATTATGTTCGAAGGCTGCCCTCTAAACTTCTGGCTATGTAACCACAATCCGTGGTTGACACAGCAGGCAAGAGAGAAAGAGAATTCTTCAACTCATCAAGATTTTTACATTTGTTAAAAAGGTTGAGGCATTAAGCTAGGTAATATTGATAAGATCCCTTCTAATTATTTTCCAATTATTTTTATGTAACATGGAGAGAAAGAGAAAGCAAAACATATAAAATGATGGATTAACATGCTATACAACAAGAATGTAGGTAAATTGAATATGCCCTTTCCAGATTTTCTAGTGATGTTTTACTTTTGATCAGCTTTGAAAATTGTACAAACCACACTTAATTTCTTACTGTTTATCTATTCTAATCATGAACAGGAAGAAAAATGCCTTTCCCCGTTCCTCTACTCTCATTGGTTAAGAAATAAAAGACATCAGTTTCATATGTGTCTAATGGTGGGTAATCTTTCAAAATTAACCATTATAGTCTTCTTCTTGACAATGTCAAGTCAGCCTGCACGGAGTGGACAGCTCCTGTTAATGATATGGCTAATGGCTGAGTCTGGTTGCTTTCTCTTGGGTTGTATTCTTAACACAATCTTCTTGGTTTCCTAACCCAAATGAGTTGTTCCTGAGTCTCAAGTTCTTATAGTAACAACTCCTGTTTCTTAAGCAATGCCTGGGTCAAATGCTTCTCGCATACTGTTTCATTTAATCTTCACAACAGTGTGTTATAGGTACAATTATTATTTCCTAGGGAAGACTGAGGTTCAGAGCAGTTAGAGTAACATGTCCAAGTTAATACAATTAGAAACTGATGGGGATCCCTGGGTGGCGCAGCGGTTTGGCGCTTGCCTTTGGCCCAGGGCGCGATCCTGGAGACCCGGGATCGAATCCCACGTCGGGCTCCCGGTGCATGGAGCCTGCTTCTCCCTCTGTCTGTGTCTCTGCCTCTCTCTCTCTCTCTGTGTGTGACTATCATAAATAAATAAAAAATTTTTTAAAAAAAAGAAACTGATGGCCTTGGGATTTGAATCCAAGCTGATCTCATTTCAGAACCTGCATTTTTGATACATGAATTAGAAGACCGTTTACTACCTAGAAGAATATTTTGGGACATAGACAGCCAGCTGGTTTCCAAATGTTTCCCGAGATCCTCTATTAAAGCATTTGACCAACAGCAGACACAGGTTTGCCTCCTCTGCTCTGGCAGCCAGCTGACATTTCCTTTTGCATTACCTCCTTCCATTTGGCCACCAATTTCTATAACTACTCAAAATCTTTCCTCTTGTGGCAGGACTGACATTTGCTATGCCTATAACTGTGCCTCTCCAGATTTTATGTGCTAGCAGCGGTATCAGATAAAGGGGTCCCTCTGAAACTTGGCATTCTATATGGCTGGGATGTTACATTTGGCTGACAACTGGGTTCCTTAACCATCTTTTGAAAGTCCCTCTAAACTATACTCACTAAAGTTCTTAGCAGCTGATATCCAGTTGACATAAACTTCATGGTTCTAAGGATCTTCTTTAGTAAACATCTAAAATGGAATATTGGCCTAGGATCAGGAAATATCAAGCTCTGAAACATTCTTGACAAGAAAACCTAGAAGTAAACTCCAAACTCAGGGTTATGAAGATGAGGAAGGGAGGCTCAAAGGATAGAATGAATTCTATCTGGTCATTTGGCTCATAGGTGGTGATGGGAATAGAAACTCTGGAATTGTCCTCTCTCTGACATTGCCTGGTTCCATAGGTTCTGGTGAAGCACTGCCTAGTTTTGAGTGACATCTGATTTTCTCACTGGTAACACCAGAGTATATCCAAGAAGGCTTTGGGTTGTCAATAGGAGGTACACTTATTTTCAGACATGGCTACTATTTTGTGAACCCTTCCCCTCCCTCTTTCCTGATTTGCTTTAGAAGAAAGTAATGTCCACCATCCTTTGCTACTTTTCAGCTTTCTTCTTCCTCCTGGAAAATGCATAATGGCAAGCAGGAGAGGTTGGAAAGACAATGGTAGATGCAGTTTTTGAGTGAAATCAGAGGAGGCAAAAGCTAGAGATTTATCTTCATGTCAAGCAAAAGGCCATAAAAGATCTATTTTTCCAATTCAGAAGAGTTACATAAACAAATATAAAATTACCTATGTAATTTTACAAAAGAAACCTCAGATTAGTAGATGGCTTCTTCATTACAACTTACTACATAAGGTAGTTCTGATTGAACATTACCAACAAAATAAAAAATTTATAAAACAACTTTACAGCCAAGAAAGAAAGAATATATTATAATTATTTTACTATGAACTTTGTTATTGGGGTATATTTCTCTTGTTAGAATATAAAAACACTAATTTTGAACAATAAACTATTTCTGAATTATTCTTTATTCCACGGAATTTAAATGTACACAGTATTGCATGAATAAGGTCACATGTCAAAGGAAAAGCATCCCATTTTTCATAAGTAACCGACGAATTGAGGTACAATGTTGTAATGTTATAAAATGGAGTAAATAACTTATCTCTAAGTATTTCAAATAAAAACAAATGAAACAGACCAATAAACTAACTTTCTTTGTTTTAATAAGCAAGTACAAGACTATGATCCAACTTGGATATATAACCTACTGCCCCAGGCTGCAACAAGAATTTCACACAAAACCTACTGACCTATCAAAAGTCACTTTCTGTGTTTGCCAATTCTCTCTATACAACAGATGGAAAACATAAAATGGTTTGCACTTTATTTCAAAATTACCATAATTTTCCTAATGAAAAGGTTATTCTTCATTTTATATTAAGCCAGATATGCTGTTTCCAAGCAAAAAACCAAATAAAATTTTCCTGATGGTCAGCAGTATCTTTCTTTTTCCTGATGTACCTTCAAGGCACAAACAATAGGGCAATGAAATCATGGCTAGAGAGAAGGTCAACCATGAGGAACAGAGAAAAAAGAGAGAAGAGAAGGAAAGGGAAGGAAACGGAGGCAAGGAAAGAAGGTAGACAAGGAAAGACAAGGAGAGAAGAAAAAGAAAGAAAGAAGAAGAAGAAAGAAAGAAAGAAAGAAAGAAAGAAAGAAAGAAAGAAAAAGAAAGAAAGAAAGAAAGAAAGAAGAAAGAGAAAGAAAATAAGAAAGAAAGAAAAAGGCACACCTCTTGAGCACACCATCCACATTCCGGACCCAGCGCAAGGCATTTGGTGCAGGATGCTGCATTTGAAGATGTACATCTATTGTCTTCTGTAATGGAGGATAAAATGAGGTGTTACTCTCATACTAGGGAGTATATACAATTCTAGACCAAAATGTATTTTGAAATCTGAAAGCTGATCGATAGTTTTAAGTACACAACATTAAAAAATACATAATTTCTTTGGGCGGAGATAAGGTTAACTGCATTACAATGAACAGATACAACATTTCCTGGATAGTTACTGGTTTTATGACTTCGGGAAAAAGGGTGATGAAATGTGATTTTAGTGAGATTTGGAATTTGGCTTGGATTCTACTCCAAGAGTAAAAGACACTCCACATTTCTTAGTGTCTTAGTGCTGAAGTTTCACTGTATTTCATATTATCTGAACTAATGAGGTGTTTTTGAATATAGAATTTTTCCTGTAAAAATAATCATATACAGACTGAACAGGTCAATCCATATTGGGTCATAGTGAATGAACTTTCTAAAAAACGATCTTGATTTCTTGAGAAATGATAACACACAGAGTAACTTGGGAATTCTGATTTTCTTAATATTGATTATTTTGCCTTGATGGATATCAGAATCAAATATAACCGTTTGAGTCAACATTTTAGACATAAAGTAGTTAAAATGGATGAATTTTTTTAGTTTACCCAATTTAGTTTTCCTAATAAGTTTTTTACCCAATTACATTTCTAATTGGGTAAACTAATTTTAACCAATTTAAGATTGCTTTAAGATCATGACCAACTCACTTTTCCATAGATTCTCACACTTAGCTGTGACGTTTTAGTAACATAGCTGTGCCTGGAAACTATTTACCTTTATCTCTAGCCACTAACTACTTATATCATTATGAGGAAGCTCTTCATTATGAACTTAAACACATAAAATACAATAAAGAATGAAACATAAATTGTTTTCTCCTGAGTTTTTAGTCCATCCTTTACTATGAAACATCACAAAGAGACTGGAAATCACAGCATTCTACTCATCTCACTCACAGGCATTCAGTAAATAAAAGGCATTTTAGCTGTAAGTAGTTCACAGTCCTGGTATGGAGAGAACTGTATTGCTTGCTTAAACAATAAAATACAGTATGGTAAGTTAACCAGAGCTAGAGATCACCAAGGCACTATGGGAACACAGTGAGGGGCTTCTCCTTCTGCTTTAGAAGGAAGGACAGGGGTGGGGAAGAGGGTATATTTAAGGATGATCTCTATAGGCAGTTATATCTAGTGTATCTCTTTGCCATTTCATTTTGTTTCTTCTGATTTGTATTTATCTTTAAAAAAATATATAATGGGGGCACCTGAGTGGCTCAGTCAGTTAAGCATCTGCCTCCAGCTCAGGTTATGATCCCAGGGTCTTGGGATCGAGCCCCACATCAGGCTTCCTGTTCAGTGGGGAGTCTGCTTCTCCCTCTCCCTCTGCCTATCACTCTCCCTGCTTGTTCTCTTCCCCCCACACACCATCAAATAAATAAGATCTTAAAAAAAAAAAAGAAAAAGAAAAAATATAATGAATGAGGCATGAGAGGACTATGTGTGTTTGTATGTGTATACAATCACATGAGGACATGGTAGTTTGAAAGGGGATCAAGTCCACAAAATCTCTAGCTGTCCCCATCCAATCATTTTTTCTTTTTCTTCTCTTTCAACTTGCTCCAACATTCTAGAATACACAGGTAAAACAGCTCTGACCTGAGAGTGGCAAGGGATGGACTTTGGCAGTGGGAGAAAGAAAAGGGAACTATAGGAGATTAAGTATAGCATAAAGGTACTAATTTGGGTGGTAGTGAGCACCCTTCCCTGTATTTCCCCAGACAGCCAACAAGTTAACCCAAAACCATTCCTCCTTAACTCTTAACAGCTGTTCTATTATCTCCTCTCTGTGTTCCCTTGCAGCCTTTGTCCTTGGCTTTATATCAGCTTTTAATACACAGTATACAAAACTTTACTGATTTGTTCAAACCTGGCCTAGACTTCCAAGGACTAAAAATAACTACTGTTTTTAGGCTGCCTTTACTACAAGTGTGGCCACCTGACTATGAAAACTCCATAGCCTAAAATCCTTCCAGCTAGCTTAGCTTACCAAACTATATAAAAGGTGCTTATTTCTCAAGTATTGAGAGGAGAGAGTGACCTTTTTAGTTTTGTTCTCAGAAAGAAATCAAGCACATTTGCAGACCTAACTTGGCTTTTAACAACTCTTAAACTTGACCTGACTGGAACGTGGAATTAAGTCTATTTCAGTTTAGACTTAACTAACTCTTTCACTCAGTAGGTAAGATGTTGGTACTGGCAGTTAAGATTGCACTCTGTTGAAAGGGAAGCTACAGCTTCTATGACTGTGTGTTTGTTTCTACTAGTTGTCTGTGTCCTACGTTAACCCAGATTCAAGGTCAGTCCATCTCCCCACCCCCCTTTTTTTTTAAGATTTTATTTATTTATTCATGAGAGAGAGAAAGAGAAAGAGAGGCAGAGACACAGGCAGAGGCTCCCTGCAGGGAGCCCAATGTGGGATTCCATCCTGGGACTTCACGATCACACCCTGAACCAAAGGCAAGACACCCAACTGCTGAGCCATCCAGGTGTCCCGGTCAATCCATCTCCTACTTCCAAGACACAAATGGTAAATAACGAGTTTACAGATCTGTTTTCTTTATAATCTACCTTCCAACCATTTGTTTTAAAAAGTTCCAGTGCCAACTTCTGTTCTCAGATTTCAGATACCTAAGAATGATGACCAAGAGGAATAGAAACTTTGGTCCTGTCAATACTTACGAGGTTCCAGGGCTGACATTTCTCAGTCTACATAATTATAGGAAAAATGATCCCCTAAATGGATATGGAGGAAGCAGGCCTTATGATTCTGCAGAACTGGAGGAAGGCCATAAATCGAACTCCATGGGAATAGTGTCAAATGTTACTGCTGGAGAGTGTCATGGTTAGATTTTACAGAAAACAAACCAGATACACTTTGGTATGTAGCATCTTAAGGGTTTTTCTTTTTAATTTTAAACACACATTAAGTAAATACCTAACATGCAAATATCACACCAATTAGAACAGTTCTTTACACTGAATGGTATGCTTGGAGGTTGTTAGTCAATATGTGCTGAAGGGATGTGTGTATGTGTGTGCCTGTGTCTGTCTGTCAGCCAGACCTTCCTGTGTAAAGAGAAATCTTTACACTGAACACACATCAATCAATGTGTGAGTGCTATTTACAGACGTGGGCAGTTTGTCATGAGCCTCTAAGTTGACTTTGTTCATTGGCTGCCCCATTCCTCATGCAGCATCATAGGAGGCTGCTTTCCAATGATGCTTTCATAGCAGCCTCAGCACTGACATCTCATTAGAGGGGGTGCCTGAGTGCTTCTTCTTACCACTCTATGAGAGTGGTAGCTTCTTGTCCAGCTGTTTGTTCAGTGATGTGGCATAGCACTGTAATCTTTATGTTCTAGCATTGTGTTTTTATTAAGGATACTTTTTTATGGGGACACCTGGATGACTCAATGGTTGAACATCTGCCTTTGGCTCAGAGCGTGATACGGGAGTCCTGGAATAGAGTCCCACATTAGGCTTCCTGCATGGAGCCCACATCTCCCTCTGCCTGTGTCTCTGCCTCTGTGTGTGTGTCTCATGAATAAATGAATGAAATCTTTAAAGTTTACAAATGATATTTTTTATGGATCTTAATGGAAATTAGGAAAGATAGTGGAAGCAGAATCATATTTTAAACCATGTATCTTCAGAACCCTCTTTTGTTCTCATCTGCTTCTTATTTGCTGCCTCACAAATCCCATGTCATTAAAAAATGTGCTGCCAAGACAGAAATTAGTAAAGGATTTAAGGTCATTTAAGTGTGTACATACATTCTGAAAAATTCTATTCCTTGATCTATGAGCATGGGCTGAGATTTGTACTTTTACTCCTGTTACAACTGGAGGTAATAGATATGATGAGGTAGCATTGCTAAATAGTTACTAGAAATAAAGTTCCAAATTTCCACAGCATTGTTACTTAATAGCAATATGTTCTTAGGCTAGTTACCTAAGTTTTCTGAGGCTCCATTTCTTCCATGGTAACATAGGGCTAACTATATCTAGATCAAAATACTGATAATGAAATGAAATGAGCAAGCATAAGCATGACAAGGATAGTACTTAGGGTATAGTAGACACTCAGCAAAGGGACTATTGTAACTTATTTCTAATTAATATTATAAAAATGTATATGTATATACATACACGTGTATAGATGTATACATATATTGTGTATAGATCTAGCTTCAAAAAAGGGGGGAGGTGTTGTGTCTTTGTTGTAAATATAATTAGTTGTCTTTAAGATAAAAGTCCCTTGAATTATAAACACAGAGTTTTAAAAATATAGCTAATATATAAAAATAACTATTAAATAAAAAGATACAACTTTTACCTTGGTTATTTAAAAATGACTCTTGAAAGCCAGTTTAGTCAAATATACACACATCAGTCCAATCTGTTACAAATACAATTTTGATATGATTGTAATTGGTTACTGAAAATCTCTTACAACATCTTCATTTTGTTCACATTTTTCAAAGTGTACCTTGACTTAATCTGAATATTTTTCTAATTATTTCCCAGAATTAAATGTTTCTGACGCATGTAAAATGACCTTTATAACAGTCTGTCATAAAGTATAATAAATATCCATCATCAACAGGATAAAGTACACAAAAATCAGGAAACTACATATTTGTGACTGTCACTTAGATATTCTTTTAGATGATTCATTTATTCATATTATTTTGATAATGCTTAATCTATAGAGTAAGAAGAGAAAGAAAATGGACGAAAAACAAAAATAACTAAAAAAGCCCATAAGTTTCAATGTTTAGATTGAGATCTTTTCATAAGTCAAGTAATCAAATAAAGTGACAGGTTTAGCAAAATTTCTAATGTTTTTCTGCTCTAAAGTCTACCACAAAATTCCAACAAAATTTAAAGGATGCCCCAAGCTATCTATAAGAAGGAGCAATTAAAACTGATAAAAGATTGTAGTCCTTGGTATTCAGAATCAATCATTCTAGATTCTCCTGTTAGAACGAGACAGAATGATTTGTGAAGAATGCAGAAATGCATTTTTTTCAGCCAGTATCCTTCCTTAATTGCATTTACTATACAAATTAAACTTGGATAATTATATAAAGTCACTTCCTTAACAAAAAAATAAACACTGTTACAATGAATACATACTCTACTTTGATAATAGTCACAACCAGACAAATTGAGCACACATAGAATAAGGTTTGGAGTAGAACTTTGGATTTTCCTTGTTCTAGATGTATATCGCAGCCATGTAATTGTTACAGATATCTTTAGTTTTACAGATACCTTTAAAATACATTACTTGATTACTGAAAGCTCTATTTTGCACACTTAGCATGCTATCATTTGATCTAAAAATAAAAATAAAGCAATAGATTTCTGTTCTAATCACTTGCTAGTTATTCCAAGTTTTTTTAAAAGATTTTATTTATTTATTCATGAGAGACACAGAGAGAGGTAGAGACATAGGCAGAGGGAGAAGTAGGCTCCCTGTGGGGAGCCCATGTGGACTCAATCCCAGGACCCTGGGATTATGAACTGAGCCAACTCAACCACTGAGCCACCCAGGTGCCCCTTATTCCAAGTTTTGATTGAGAAGCTATTCCCTAAAGGTGCCTACAAATATATAGAGACAGAAGAGGTGGTTAGGACTACTACTTTGAAAATCAGGCATAGGAAACAAAACCAAAGTCAGTTAAATTTTGAGATTAGGTTAAAGGGGCAAGGGAAAAAATGTGGAAGCATGGGAAGCTCTTTGGAAAAGGTAGATCTGAGCAGGGAAGCTCTGAAGAGCTAGAGATGTATTATGAGGAAGCTAGTGACTGAGGGAGTATAACAAAACAGAGGGAGCAAGGAAATAATACAATTAATTACTTGTATTATTCTTTTTCTTCTGGTTTTTTCCCCGGACTTCATATAAACATAAACAAAACCACATTCTTTATTAATATTTTACATTTGCTTTTTAACTTAGCACTTACTCTATGCAACATAATTTTACTGTAAAATTAGACAAGGCAGCAGATATTATTAAAGGAATTAAAATAATGTATCTGTGCCAAACTTCAGCATACTAAAATAATTTTTATGCAACAAATGCATATTTCAACTGTGCTCACATAGAATTAGTTGAAAAAGAAACTTTAATATCTTCAGTTTGCTACTAAACTAATAGTTCAGGAAATACTACTCTTCTAGCAGCAACACCCAACCTAGAGTATTTTTCTCTCCTTTGCCTTTACCATATTGTTTCAAACTTGTAGCAAATAAGCATGCAGGCAGTGGAAATGAAAATGAATATCTCTATGGGAAAAAAACAGTTTGTCTAATAATTTTGCCTCTACTTGCACTTGAAAAAACCTACATCCATATTTATGTTTGGTCAAAAACACCTTCTTGGATTCCTTTCTTTCTTGTCTTCTCTGTTAGCTGTTCTGGTGATGAGGTTTGATAGTCTAAGTATATTTGGAGGAAAAGGCAGCAGTATGGTATGATAATGTTCAATGCTTATATGGAAACTCAAAAGAAAGGGTGAGGAAATGAAGACATTATAAGAAAGACAAATAATTGTCTTAGCTACCCAAAGAAAGAACCTGAGATAGAGATTGTTGGTGGCAACGATCTATTGAGAAGGGAAGTGAGGAAAGGTCAGCAAAGACAGGGTGCAAAGATACTGTTGCAGTCAAATTCTGGTCTCAACTGATTCTACCCAGAACTCAGAACACAAATGATACCACAAAGTTTTTCCACTTTGAGGCAAAGTGGGAGCCTGGCTTTTATACCCTCCCATCAGTCAGCCATTTACTGAGGGCAGCACAGAGAGGGCTGGGGGTTGGGGTGGGTTAACCTCTACACATTACTCAGCAATATGGCTCCCTTTGATGGAGGCCATTTTTCTGAAAATGAGGTAGCTGTGAGTCATTAATGGCCAGAACTCAGAGCAACTGTGGATGGTGCACCAGCACTATAAAAGGATGTCTAGCTTAGTAGCAGCCATCTTGAGCCCTGAGGGAACCTTTCTCATGAAAGCCAACGCTAACAATGGCAGAGGTAAAGAGGGCCTGGCCCCTCACAGCACCATGTAGTTGCTGCCCCCATTCTGGGTTGTGTCTCAGAAATCTTTTTTTTTTTTCTTTTTAAGTTCTCTATACCCACTTGACGGGATGAGCACTGGGTGTTATTCTGTATGTTGGTAAATTGAACACCAATAAAAATTAATTTATAAAAAAAAAAAAAAAAGTTCTCTATACCCAACATGGGACTTGAGTTTACAATCCAGAGATCAAGATTTGCATGCTCCTACTGACTGAGCCAGCCAGGTGCCCCATTCAGAACTGTTTCTGATGTAAGAGGAAAATTTACATGAGTTTTGAAAGATAGTAAAAGAAAGACTTGAGCAGGATTAATGCAAATGCTTTATGTTAAGCATAACATTACATGACACAGACCATCCACTCTGAAGAGACATATTTGTTTTTCCTTGGAAAAAATAAGACTACTAGGCTGGCAGTTCCTGGAGGACAGATACTTATATATATTTTCTTTTTAAACCCAGTATCCAAGTCTAAAAAAAGTCTTCAGGGAACCTGGGTGGTTCAGCAGTTGAGCATCTACCTTGAGCTCAGGTTGTGATCCTGGGGTCCTGGGATCAAGTCCTGCATCGGGCTTCCTGTGGGGAGCCTGCTTCTCCCTCTGCCTGTGTCTCTGCCTCTCTGTGTCTCTCATGAAAAAATAAATAAAATCTTAAAAATAAAAAATAAATAAATTTAAAAAATAAAAATATTTATTTCTAAAACCAATTTATTGCAAAAGGCAATACATATAATTATGCTTACTGGATGAACATATCTTGATGTTTTGAAGTGTGAAAAAAAAAACCAAAATATAGTGACAAATTTCTTTACATTTGGTCTTCTGATTTATTTTATGGCAGGGTAATTTTTTTCTAAAGAACCCTGGATATGTGATGGAAATGATATTGAATTGATATAGCACTTTTTAACGCTATCATTAATGGATGCAAAACCACCAAATTCACTTATTGTTTTCTTATTGCATAGATCTAAATCAAATTTCAATTCAGCCAATGTTCTTTTCCCCTATAAGGTTGAGTAGTTTTTTTTTTTTTTTTTTTTTTTTTTTTTTTACTGAGCAGAACTTTCTTATAAGGCTGATGTTATGAAATAGCACTAATCTTTTCTTCTCATCAACTAGGTTATTAGGTTTTTATTATGTGTAATCTTTACATTTCAGGGACAAGTTTCAACCTCTCTTGCTACAAATAAAAAATTCATGAGTCCAATAGGGTTTTAGGCTACCATAAAGATGTTTAGAGAACAAAAGCGGGAGAAAAACCACTTTCAATGCTGGGCAGGTTAAGAAATGTTAGGGCAATGCTACACATTCCATTTGTCTGCCCTGCCCTATTTGGGGCAATCCCAACATGAGTCAGAATTTAAAGTGGGCTGGGATGGCATAAATCAAAACTCTAGTTCATGATGGAATTTACAAGAAGAACCAATGTAAAGCCACTGATGACATTCATTTGTGTTGAAATGGGCCATCACAAGAAGGCTGGTCTGGTGAGGTCATATCACAACCTTTCATTGTGATTCATTTACACACACTTTAGTTAATGTAGTTTTGAAAAAATTCTGATTGCAGCATACAATGGACAATTATATAAACCATGCTGTATCAGAACACTTTTTAACTTGAAAGAGGGCACTATTAACTACACTGGTGCAAGGTATAAATTAGAACTCAGGTAAACTGAGGTCTGAGGTCACCCTAAATGCACATTAGTTTGGTGGTAAAGAACAAGAAACCAAACAATAAACAAGGCAATCCATGCTAAGGTGATAAATAGGAAAGGTCAGGAAAGGGAAAGGGAATGCCCTGAGTTAGTGATGAAGGAGGGCCTGACAGGTTTTGAAGGACAGGTACGACGCAGACATCTGGTTGAAATTTGTGATGGCTTTTAGATTTTATATATAATATGTTTATGTATATTTGATATTTTATGTATTTTGACATATATTCTTAAATGTGGGAAGATGAAAGAGTATAAAGAATGCTTGAGTGCATTTGAGAATGACTTTGCAGTTCATATTATTTTCTAGACAGTGAAGTTTCTCTTGGTGGGCCAAGCAGATTTTCAATTTGTAACAAAAATTGTTCCTAAAGACAATCAAATTCAGTTTGCAACTGAAAGCACCTGAGCACATCAGTTTGTCTTCTGACATTTACTCATCTGGGGGAAATTTGTGAGGAAGTGAGAGGAAACTAAGGGA